TGCGCAGCTCTCGCACGCCCCGGTATCCCAAACGCTTGGCAGCCGAGCAGCAGCGGGGAAGGGCAGGGAGGGGGAGGACCAGGGGCTCAGCTCCGCGACACGGCGATGCTCCCACCCAGCACCCGCCGCAGGAGCTGCCTCTGCCCGGACCCGCGCAAGGGTGGGCGAAGGGGAGGGGCTGCAGCCCCAGGAGAGCGAGGGGAGGGCGAGGGCCTGCCCTCCGCCTCCGGCCGACTGCAGATTAATTGAGGACTGCCATTAAAACGTCACCGAGAAAATTATTAAGTTAAGGTAAACCACTTGCACGTGTCAAAAGCAAAGGCAATCGGTCCCAGGCCTGTCCCCCTAGGAAATTATGTGGAGTAATTAATCAAAAAGCTAATGAGAAATGTGTTTTCTTTCCCAGACTAACACCACATCATATTCTTATTAGCCGAGGTTATTACAATAGTAATCATGCATGCTCCGAGTTCAGATTGGGTTTTTTTGCTCCACTGCCACCAATTTAGAGAGGCGCTAATGGAAAAGATAAACCCCGATACACAAACCGGCCCTTTGTGTTTGTTCACCCGGCGCGTGACACTCGCCGCCCGCGACCTGCGCCCCGCCACCGTCCCTTTGCTGGCACCCGCCTACGGCCACCCCAGCCCCCGCAGCCCCCCGGGACCACTGCCCCGGCACCCCCCAGCCCTTTGCCGGGACGGAAACGTCCCGCGGCTTCTCTCGGCACCCACCGAGAGGGGCAAAGGCCCCAGGGGCTGCGCTGGGCGCTCGCCCCTTCAGCAGATCCGGCCCATTTATTTCGACGCCTGGAAGCGGGACCCGGCTTGTTCCGTAAATCTGGCGGTAAGTGGGTAATTTGCTCGGTGTGACGGGTTCCCCTTCCACCCACCTCGGAGAGCAGCCATCTGCCAATCTTCCCAGCCCTGAAGTGCACCGTCAGCAGCCCAGCGAAGGGAAAACATCCCTGCTTGATATTCAGCATTAAATAATTCAGCCCCCTACAGAGAGACCGGGGAGAAGAATGAGTCTGACAAAAAATATAAAGATTTCCTGTGCCGTGTTAAAAATGCATTGACCTGATTAGCTCGCTGGGGAGCTGCTGAGCCACGGCAGAGCAGAGCAGGGAAACCCGGCCTCGCGGTGACAGCGGAGCAGAGGGGACCTCGGACGGGCAAATGAAACACTCCAGCGAGCAGGAGCGCCTTCCCTTCTCTTTAGGGGTTTTCTTGCAAACTCGTCTCCCTACTCACGCGTGCGCGGCAGGCCGCACCCCTTGCCCAGGGGACGTCGCGCCCCTTCCCTCCGCGGCTCCGGGTGCAAACGCCGAAGGGCCGGAGCCCCGCTGCTGCCCACCCCGGGGGCCAGGCTGGCGCTGCCGGCACAGCCTGCGCCCCCAGCCCCCCGCGCGGCTGCTCCCCCCCGCCACGCCGCCTCGGAAGCCGGCACCATCTCCGCGGGATGTTTGGCAGCGCCGGCTTTGATGTGGGGATTAATGAGAACCGACACCGCTGGAGCGAAGCCTTCAGAAGCCCAAAGGCAGGGCCCGGGGCAAGACTGGAGGGGACGATGCTGCCTTTGATTGCGCCGCGCTCAGCTTCGCCTCCTGGCAGCGGGGTGACACGGCTTGGCGGGCTGGTGGCGGAGAAAATGAGGTTGCTCGGGGCTGGTTGGCTGCAGAGGGTGCCGCGGCCTCGCTGAGAGCCCTGGCTGGGCGCCGGCTTCGGCTTTGCCAAAGCCCCCCAGCACGTCAGCCCACGCAAATCCAACATCCTTGCGAGAGGCAGGACTTGGGGAGCGGCGGGACCCCGAGCTGGACTCGGCCCCTGCTTCCTCCCCGCTGGCGGCCGGCTCCCTCCTCCTCCTTCCCACCCGACCGCAGCACCGGCGCAGGTCGCGGGTGCTCACCTGCTGCGCAGGGGATGCAGCGTCCCCCCGTCCTCGGCGTCCCTCGAGGCTGGAGACCTCGCGGCGCTTGAGCGGGGCCGGATTTGGCCAACGTCCCGGCCCACCGCGCTCGAGCCTGGAGAGAAAACCCCACCATTGCCACCCAACCGCCCCAAAGAGGAGCCCGGCAGCCGTGTAGTAACCTCCTGGCCCCGTGCTCCCCGGCAGCCCCCGGGCACGCCAGGAGCTCCACGGGGCTCTCCACAGCCCCTGGCCCACATCCTCACAGGAACGGGGTCCCCCGGGGCCGGGAGCCCCACAGACACGGTGGGTGGGCAGAGCCCCGAGTGCCCGCAGCGCCCGGCAGCTGGGGCCCCCCTCTGCATTAAGCCCTTTAAGAAGAAATCTATTAGCTGGTAATTACACGCGGGCTGGAACACTACGATTTTATTACAGCTATAAAGCACTCCACAATTATAATCTGTAATTTCTGCTCTGGGGTGTTTACTGATAAAGCAACACCTGATTTCCAGCACGGAACCAGCCCGGCCCCAGGGGCCAAGCAGGCAGAGGGTCCTGCCCGCGCGCGGCTGCCGGCAGCCCCCAGAGCAGCCGAGCCCACCTGGGACGTGGCGGTGGGGCTCACACTGCGCTGGGATTGCAGCCCAGGAGCCAGGGTGGGGGTCCCAAAGCGCGCACTGGTGGCGGGGGGGGCCATGCAGCCCCCCGGCAAGAGCTGGAGGGGCTCTGCGTGCAAACGGGAACCCCCGGGGGGCTGCGGCAGCGGGCACGCTTGGCCGAAGCTACAGTTCCCGAGGTTGCTCCAGAATGAACGTGGATGCGTACCTGCCTCCACTTAGGGGCAACAAATCGTTAAGAGATTCTGCTAAATTATCCCAGAACCGCATCCGCCACTGACCTCACAACCACCCCGGGCACGGACGAGGTGGGGCCTGGAGCTGCCACGGGCTCTCCCAGCGCCTGGAGGGAAGAAATGCTACAGACTTGATTTTTCATCAGTCTGGCGCAGATGAAGTCCTCCACGGCCTCCTCCTGGAGGGGACGAGCAGCCGCTCTCGGGCAGAGGCAGGGGCCACCCCCCGCGACCCCCTCTCCGAGCATGGGGACACGGTGCTGTCCCCCAGGGTGGCAGCAGGGCTGGGGGGAACACGGGGAAACTGAGTCACGGGAAACTGCCCCTGCCCCATATGTGCTGCAGAGCAGCGCCCAAACCCCGAGCCCGATCAGGCGGTACCTTGCGCCAACCGCCAGATAACACATCTAAAACGTGTTTATTTCCATCCAGGCTGCTTTTTAATTTGATTATTTATCTCCCGTTTAGCCTTTGACAGATCAAAGGCTCGGCGGAGGGGAAGCCGAGCTGGGCTGCGCATGAAAATGAGCCTTGATACATAATTAATTAACATAAAACAGTTTCATTAGGAGGTGGTGTTACGTTGCTGTTTGTCTTAAAAATTTAAGCTGTGTAAAGAGCGCGGGGGGAGCGCATCTCCCCGGCGGGGCGGCTGGGGAGCCCCGACCCTGGGAGCCCCCGTCCCAGCCCGGCTCCCGCATCCGCCCTGGCCGGGGCCCGAGCGCGGCCCCCTCCTCCGTAATTGGGGGCAATGTCTCCTAGCCTTGATTATTAATCTGTTTTTAATTCTATTAAGGGATGGCCAGGAGAAAGAGTATCAATTTTAGATTAACAAGGTTATTAGCGCTTAATTATGTGAGGTGTCTTTGTAATTGAAAAGGAAAAGAGGAAGCGCCATAAATATCCCCAGCCCCTGAGCTCCTGGGGGTTTGCGGGTGGCTCTTCATTCACGAGGCTGTGGAACCATAAATATTAAATATCTTGTGAAAAAAATTACAAGGCAGAGAGAGGATGCCCTCTGGATATTCCGCCGCCGAATGTTCTTGCATTTACAAATATTCATTAACTGGGATCTGCAAAGTTATTTCCACCCAGACTCGGGGAATGAGCAAGAGAGAGAGAGAGGTTATTTAAAAAAATAGAGTCTAGAGTAAATATTATTAGTAATTTTTATCTCTGCATGTCCCTAATTATGGAATAATTAGGGAAAGCGCCCATATGCATATATGATCGCTAACCGGTCAGGCTCGGGGGCTGTCGTTGCCGGCCCCGCTGCGGGACGGGGGCCCCCGGGAAAGCGCTTTGCCCCCCCCGAGCTGCGCCGCCCTCGGGCTCTGCCGGGCGCCCGCCCCTCGGAGCTGCTGCCGGCTCGCGAAAAATGAAAATGTGACAAATCTCAGGCACTTTCTCATTAAAAAATACCAGGTAGGCGGCAGCGGGAAAGCGGTGCGGTACCACGTCCCGCGCCAGAACCTGCTTTGCGGGAGCTGATAAAGAAACCGAAGCGAGAGGCAGGTAGGCGGGAGGAGCCGCGCTCTCCCCCCGCGGGACAGAGCGGGTGAGGCCGGACAGACAGACAGACAGGCCCCTTCGCCCCCCCCCCCCCCCCCCCCCCCCCCCCGGGGGTGGCCTCTCCGCCAGCACCCGCCGCCCCGCGGGCAGGGGTCCAGGGGGCCACCGGTGTCACACACCGGGAATTAAGCTCTTAATCTTAACTAAACACATTACCGGTGAGCTCGTCAACCGAAATCTAATTATGATGTGTGAGGCCAGGCTTAATTGCTTGTCCTTGACACGAATAATGCACCACGTAAGCCTATTAGCCAGTGTAAGCCTATTATTATTATTATCGTGCTCACTGTCAAAAGTATAAAAGTAAAACAGTCGAACGGGGGGGAAAAAAATAATGTTGTGCAATTAGCAGCAAACCGCCAGACAAATAAGCTCATTAATTGTTGGAGGGAGCGAGCGCCACCAGTCAGCAGCACGGGGCCCTTTCGGGGGTGGGCAGCGGCCGCGGGAGGGAGGGAGGGAGGAATCCGGCCCCCAGCCCCGGGCCGGGCAGCCCCGCTCCCCCCAAGCGAGCCCCGGCCCCCCGGCCCCCAGCTCCGCTCGGCTCCTGCGCGTCCTTCGCTAATTAAATGCCATTAATGAGAAAATCAGGATGCAGGAGCCGGCTGAGCAACGCTCCCTGCCTCCCGCGCACGCACTCCGCCCGGACTTATCACTAGTCACAGGATGTTTACAATAATTTTTAATTTGCACAATTATTAATCATTTTTCTATCTGCCTAATTTGCATAATAATTACTCCGCTCAGTGTTTGCCATGACTGTGAATGACAGTGTTTTAAATTAAATTAAGATTTTAATATTCATTTTTTTGGGGTTAAGGCTAATCAAAGGTGCCGCTCGCTGCCAAGGCCGGGGCTGCTGCCCTTCCAGAAGCACTACTGACGAGATCCGCTTCGCCGTGGCAGTTGCTTTACCTGCATCCCCCCCTCACCCCCCCCGGGGCATCAGGGCCATTTTCCATCCCGGGCTCTATCACCCCAGCTGCTTCCAGGTCGGCCAGCTAACACTTGCCAATTCGCACCAAGGCAACAATGTAGAAGGACGGAAGGTAAAACGTTAAAACCGCCCCGTCCAAGCTCCGCCATACCCTCACTGCAGAGAGATATTTTCTTCTTAAGATATATCTGCTAAAAAAAAAAAAAAACTTAAGAAAGGTATTGTATCAACTCACTGTTATATAAATTCAGTATTGTAATGAACCCTGATACGAGGTCCCTAGGGTGGTGCCTGCCTCTCAAGTCTCAACACCACAACCTTCCACAGAAGTTGCGAGAGCAGAAATCTATGCTGTTCCCCGGTACTACAAACCCACCGTGCCTCGCAGCAGCAGTAGGGTGGCTTTGCCTTCCTAAGCGGCAGCTTATAATCCCAGCTGCCACGCGAGCCAGCCAGCTGCCGCCTTCCGCTGCTCTGCCCAAAGCCAGCCCCCACCGAGCGTGGGGGGGTGGAAGTGCCTAACCAGGGCAGCCACTCTCCACGCTGAGGTGATTTCAGTAATTCCACCCCGTCTTCTTTACATCTCCACAAGTCCCACTCGGATAGGGGCGAGCAGAAAGGAGCGTGTGTCAAACGTAACTCCTCCGCTCAAGGCTGCGGCCGCCTCAAGTCACAGGAAAAAAAAAACAAAACAAAACAAAAAAAAAAAAAAAAAACACAAAACAGGAGCTTGGTGCCAGAAGGGGGAAACTGGAAAATACACCCGGCTGAAGAGCAGGCTTGCAGCACGCCCTGGACTCGCGCCGCCGCCTCACGGCTCCCTCGCGCCCCGCAGCCGTTTTCCCACCTGGGGGGCTGCCGCAGGGCCCCCACGAGCATCCCCTTCCCCCCGCCGCCGCAGAAACGAGCTGCCCAGGGCGGCTTCCCGCGGCCAAGCGCCGCCGCTCGCTCCCCAGGCCCCAGCAGCCAGCTCGCCCTTCCAGCCCCAGTCCCCGGAGGACGCGGTGAAGCTTCACCCGCCGCTCCGCGCCAGCCGGGGTGCGCCCAGGCCCCGGGCTGGGGGAAAGGCGTCAGTGAGGCACCGGGTGTGAGCGCTGGCGGCGGCCGACCTTACACCCCGTCCTCCTGCTGGCAGGCCGACGGCTCCATCCCCTCGCCCTTGCCGGGGAAAGACCACCACCACGCCGCAGCGAGTAGAAAAAGGAAGCTGTTATTTACAAGAGGATGCGGGGGTTGCCGGACCGCTGGCAACGTAACACGGTGAACAAAAAGGCGGAAGGAAGCCCCCAGACTCTCCCGCCCCAGAGAAGATTCTCTGCCCTCGCCTCTCGCCCCCAGCCCGCTTGGCAAGTGCCGCAAAGAGCGGCTCCGGCGACTGACCAAGGCATCTCCATGGCAACTCCTGCCTGCCTTGAATACCCGCTCCCTGCGACGCCGACGAGAACGACTGTATTTATTTCCACAAGTGCTTTCTCGCAAGCAGGGATTAAGGGAAGCTCTCTGCCTGGCCTCCAGCCCCAAGGCCGACAAATCTGATCAGAGGCAAGGGGCGACGCGGGGCTGCAGCGAGCCCCCGGCAGCAGGGCAGGCAAGCGCCCCGGGGGCCCACCCACCAACATTACTTCCGACATAACCACCGGGGGAAGCCGTGTAAACACCCTCTCCCCGCTTCTTTCCAGCGGGATCTGCCCCGCAAAGAGCTGCAGGGGCTCCCGAGGCCCGCGCTGCCGCACGCAGCGCTGCGGGCTGGTCTCTGAATCTCTCCCGCGGGCAGAGCCGCAGCGCCGCGCCACGAGGGCCAGCAGCGGCCGAGCTTTCTCAGCTTCACGGCGAGCCGGTGACTCGGGGAACTCGAGGGCACCAGAACTACACACGCAAACCTAACGGAAGCCCTTTGGGTGGCGTGGGAAGGGCCCAGGGTGGACCTGACCTCAGCCCAGAGCCAAATCAGCTCGCGGTATGAAGTAGTTTGAGGGTACAGCTGCTGCCCGGAACAGCTCCACCACCACTGAAACTACAACTGAGCTCTGGGACGGGCTGACCTGCTGGATGAGGTTAATCGTCCCGCGAGCGAGCGTTCCGCGCACTTTCACCGTGAAGAAAAACCTGAGATTTAGAACACCTGAAGACTTGCGAGCAGCCCTCAGAGAAGAAAGCGTTTGGCATAAAACAACGAAGCATACAGTGCCTGCGGTTTGTTAGAAGACAAATAGATGGCCCAGACACCGGTGTGTGCAGCGCATCATGAGGAAGCACCGGAGCGCCGCGGCCGCCCCGCGGGCAGCAGCCTCTCCGCCACGCTGCTGCAGTTCTCTGCCCTCGTCCTCTCTGGCCGACGGCAAATCCCCCTTTTGGCAGCTCTCCTCCAAGCTGAGCCTCTGGGAAGATGGTCCGCGGGGACGGCGCGAGGCATCGCTGCTGCGGGGTTCCTCAGCTCGCCTACATGTCCTCAACGCTCCACTTGTAGGCGAGCTCCTGAACCGCCTTCTTGTTGGCTATCCTGGCAAAGCGCTGCTGCTCGAAGCCGTTGGACCTACAAAGTGATACCGAGAAGCCCGTGGGCTGCTGCGCAGAGGCTCCTCACGAGCCGCAAAACGCTTTAGAGACATTACGAGCTCGCCCACTGCTTGAGCTCCGTTTCCCCCCCTGGCCTGCAGCTCGCAGCAGCCAAGGTCTCTGGAGCTGCTCGCTCCCCTGCCGGCAGCGCCGGCCTCGCTCCCTTCCGTCCCGACAAGCACGTGTTCATCGCCCCATCTAACTTAATGTGTTCGGCCTCGCTGCTGCTACGTCCTTCCTCTGACACGAGGGAGGGGAGTCTTTACACTCTGAACCCTGAAGCAAAAGCTCGTTTGTTTTCACTATGACCCTAACACGCCGTCGTATCGGGAACATGTACCTGTCCACGCCATCCCAGCGATGCCCGGGCCATATATTAAACCTGTTGAGGGGAGGTGCTGGTCCCTTGTACCTCGGTTTTTCTAGAAACACAAAGAGCGATACAGCCGTTCAATCCCGCAGCACAATCCGGCGCTCACGTCGCCACCAGCCCGAGGGGAACGCGCAGGCACAGCCCACGGGTGGCTTCACAGCCACCCACAGCTCGCAGAGGGGGCTCCCATCGCTGCGCTCAACCAAACTGCACTCTGCGGATTTTAACTCACTGGCCCCCGCTCTCCAAGCTAACAAAGCACCGTCACCGTTACGCGTACCCAGCCAATAACAGCAAACACTGCTACCGCACCAGCTGCGGACAAGGAGCCCCTTAGGAGCAAGCTGCTCTGGCAGCTTTAACAGAACCCGCATTTCCGCTCTGCCAGAGCCCTAAACACTTCAACACTGAAACACTTAAACACCGGTGCAACTCCGCAGCCAAACCTTTCTTTTCTTTGTTCTCTTTGGCCTTCCTTTTCTTGATGAAGTCAGCCATGGGGTCTCCTTCTCTCTCCTGTTCCCGCAGCATTCGATCCAGATCCTGGTCATCGATGTAACGGGCCAAGGGCTTCTGCATCTCCTTTATCGCATCTTCCACGTTTTGCTGCTGTTGCCTCCCCTGCGCTAGCCTGCAAACAGACAGAGTTTCACCCCAAAACCACGCAAGCCCTTTCCTGCGACTCGCGCAACCCGCCGGAGGGATCGCAGCCCTGACCTCCCACCGCGCACGCAGCGTTCCCAACGCACGCCCGGCGGCGGAGGGGATCGTCGAGGGGGTCCCTGGAACACGCGGAGCACGCACCCTCCTGGCCCCAAAGGTGGAAGGAAGCGGCGTGCCGCCACCACCACCACCAGCAGCGGCACCAGAAGTGGGCTAAGCAGCGGGGAGGGAGGGGTAGCCTTACCCCTTCCCCCACTTGGCGTACTGCTCGTCTCTCTCAGACTGCGCCTCAGCTTTCTGCCTCTGCTCCAGCCGCTCCTGCGCCAGGTCTCGCTTCCGGCCTGACTTGTCTCGGAAGACGGTCTCGGAGCGTCGGGACTCCTCTGGAGGGGGCAGATGCCTCAAGTCACGTGTTTTGGAACATTTCAGCATCTCCAGCCAGCTCGTTGGCTAACCGCGCCTCCTTCCAGCAATTTTTTCCCTTTCAGTTCTTCTAGCCTCTGAAAGAGCTTCTCACCCCGCAGCGGGCAGGAGCACAGCTCTCGCCTTTAGCTGCTGCCCCGCACAGCTCGTACCCTGAGCTCCGAGTGCCAGCCTGCTGCTGCTTCAGACTTGCAGCCGGGCCGGGCCGCGAAAAACCCTCCCGCCCTCCCTGCGATCCCACTGGCGTTGCTTTGAAATCACCGTTTAAAGGCCTCTTAGAAGTCTCTTGATTTCAGAGGCTCCGTGGCCCGACCCAAGGAACCCAGCAGCAGGGGCAGACGCTGCTGCCCAGGGAGGCTCAGCACCGCGACGCCAGGGCCGGGGGCAGCACCGGGGGACAGCCGGAGGCGGGAGGGAGGAAGCGCGCTGGCGCTCACGCCGTGTTTTCGCACCCCTACCTTCCAAGTGCTGGTTACTTCTCTCATGCCTCCTGAGCTCCTGCTGCTCCCGGCGCAGCACGTCAGCCGACACCAAGCCAGCTTTGACCCCCGACGACATCACACTGGCCTGCAAACCAACCAACCATCACATTTACTGCTAGCTGAGGGCCAGCCGGCCGTCCAGAGGCGTGACCAGGGGACAGCCCAAAATCATGAGACGCGTCAGCAGAGACGGCCACGTTACAAAGCCACTTTGCTGGCAGCCTCGTGAACCGCTTGCCCCGACCCCTGGAAACAGAGTGGACCAAGGCAGAGCTCCTCTCTCACGCCTTCCTCGTGCCTCTACTGGAGGCAGAGGGTCTGGCACAGCTGCATACATGAGGAAGATGAAATTCGGACACTGCAATTCGTAAGTCGTTGGGACTCTTGCAGTCTTCTATCGGCATGGAGGTCATCTACAGCCTAACGGGAAGACGACGCGTTTACCTTCTTGGGAGATCCCTTGGCGTCACGGTGGCGACGTGGCGAGAGGTCGGGGGGGCTCCTGGAAGCGTGCCGGTCCCTTCCGGCTGGCAGAGCGCGCCGCGGAGGGGATAAATCCGAGTCGGAGGATCTGCCGTGACTCCGGTGGAGAGGCCCACGCTGCGAGGAATCGCTGCGTACGCGGCTGCACCTGCGCTCTGCGTCGGGGGTGTCCCGGGTGCCCCTCTGGGGAGACGGGGACTCGGAGCCGTGCCGAGGGCACCGCTGAGGCGAGGGCACCGGCCTAAGCTTTTTCGGGGCTGGAGAAGCACCTGCAGCGAGGACATACACTGACTGAAAATCAGAGATTCGGACAGATTTAGCCCCACAAAAACACCACCGTGCGTGAGGTTAACTCCTAGAGAAATCGAGACCTTAGGAGATGACAAGCTGCAGGGAAAAGACAAGTCTGTGTCAAGAGTCTGAATTATCTTCCTTCTGAACGCGTATGGCATTGAGACAGGGTTTAAACCCTGTTTTCCTTTCAGACAGGTGTGAGCCTTAACCAGCTAACTATTCGGGTAATTGTAGTTGAGCTGATGAAAAAAAAAAACCCGGATTACCAAAACTAGTTTTACCAAAGGAAACGGCAACCTTTCTGTTACTATTCCACGACTGCAGACTACCAATTCCACACCACTCTCCTCCACGGAGCACGCACAGCTGCTCAGAGAGGGCAGCCAGCAAAGCACAGGACAGACGGAACAAGCTCCTTTCCTGCCACTCACCTCTTGTTCTGCTCTGCTTTTTCAGAGAAGGTGACCCCGTCCTCTGTCTCCGAGGCGGCGACAAATCAGCGTCAGAATCGTACCTCTTCTTCCGTGGAGGGGAGAGATCCGGAGTAGCCTGACGCTTCTGGCGTGACGAGGACTTGTCGGAGACGCCGTGCCTGAGCTGGGAGTGCTCTTCTCGGCCTCCCCCTGACAGCAACTTGTCTGTGGTTTTGCAGCCCCTTTTCCCCGTCACTGAACCGACCCTCTTTGGGGAGACGTCGGGGGAGTCGTGACGCTGCCGCCGGGGAGGCGACGGGTCAGGGGAGTCGTGACGCTTCCTTCTTGGGGGAGAGAGATCAGGGGAGTCGTGACGCTGCCGCCTCAGGGGAGAGAGATCTGGGGAGCCATTTTGCTTCCATCTGGGTGGCGAGAGGTCCGGGGAGTCGTGGCGCTGTCGCCTGGGTGGCAGGAGGTCGGGGGAAGGGTTTCTCTCTCGCCGGGGAGGTGACAGGTCTGGGGAGTCGTGGCGCTTCCTTCTTGGCGGGGCCAGGTCTGGGGAGTCAAGGCGCTGCCGCCCCAGAGGCGATTTGTCGGGGGAGTCGTGCCGCAGCCTCCTCGGTGGAGAGTTGTCTGGGGAGTCGTGGCGCTGTCGCCTGGGAGGAGAAGGTGAAAATGCAAAGTACAGTTCTGTTTGTTTGGCTGCCTCCAGACTAGAAACAACACATCTGAGAAGGACCTGTAAGCTAGCAGTAGCGGTCACCGATGAACACAACTTTCTGAACGCGAGTTTATACGTGAATCTGCATCCCCACAGAGCCACAGGCCTCCCAAAGTAGATCCCAGAAACCCTCCGGGGTAACCTGGATCACCGGAACACTGTAATTCTAAAGTCTCTAGGCACCCTGGTGACGCTCGAACCACAAAACCCGCTTTGTGTCCTTGTATAATCAACTTCTCACAGGGAAATGCCCCACCACGGCCTCCGAGAGCCTGGACACTGCGCGCCCACAGAGAGTTTCAGAGAAGGGGCATGTTGGACCGCCACCATCCTCACCGCTCCCCAGACCTACAGTGAGTCACAGCCATCTCCCTGGCGCCGTCACATTCCAGCACGCTGCCCGGCAACTCCCCCCACCCACAGAGGCTACTCAGCGGTGGAGGGGGGACCCCTGCCTGTGCCCCTTCTTGTGTCTGGCAGGGAAGCGCTTAGAAACTGCAGAGTGAGTCGCAGAAAAGAAGAGTTCACCAGCAGAAGAATTTCCAGTTAGAGCCCCGTACCTCGTGGTAGATCTGGCAGGTACTGAAATATCCGAACCTTGTGAGTCTTCATTCTGGTCTGAAGACAAACAATCAGAAAGTCACCATCGATCAGGTTCTCCAGAGTTCACGATCTCTCTGGCGTTTCAAGAATTACTTTTTTTTTTTGTTTTGTTTTTTTTAACCTACTATTATTCTTAACTCGCAAATGTTTAGAACGGTTAAATGCTCAGGGAGGGAGGGCGGAAAGCTGTGGCCTCACCTCCTAAAAGCTTCCATTTGGCATTTGTTCGGAACTCTTCCATGAGCTTCACTTCATCCGGACGCTCATCAATAAATTCCGCCACCTGAAAAAACAAAACAAAACAAAACAAAAAACCACAAACACAAGTAACCAACACGGCTTGAAAGTAAAGGAAAGGGAGGATTTCTGCTCTCCAACCCAAGCTGCCCTCCCACAGGCGGATTTCCAAAGCTCCTTCCCCAGCCTGCAGTGTTTGTCCCCCCCGTCCCACTTGCCCCAGCGGTTGGCAGGCTCGGCCACCCCCCGCCCGGCCTCCAGCGGCTGCTTTACCGCTGCCCACCCTGCGCCTCTGGGACCGCAAACACCCACAGAGGAGGCTCCTCCTGCCCGCAGGGAGTTACCCCAAGCCCCGGCGCCCAGAGCGGGAAAGCTCCCCCGCCCCCGCCCCCGGCCCCACCCGAAGAGGGGGCGGCGAGGGAGGGTTTGGGAGCTGCTCCCCCACAGAGCGACCAGCCGCGAGGAGAAGGGATTTAGTCGTTGAAACCGTGTTTGACTTTACCCCCCCCCCCCCCCGCTCACCACGGGCAGGTCCCCTTCGTCCTCCTCCTCTTCCTCCTTCTCCTGCACCGCAGCGATGCTGCTCCAGCCCACGTCGTCGTCCACGATCCGCATCCTGCGAGCGCGGAGAGGGGCCCCGCCGTCAGCCCCGGGGGGGGCCCCGCGGAGCGCCCCGGCCCCCACGCCGAGGGCCGGGCCGCCGCCTCTCCCTTTCCCCGCAACTCACCCGCCTCTGGCGGCGCCGGCCGGCGGCTTCTTCCTGCGGCGGCGGCGGGGCCGGGCGGGCTCGGCGGCGGCCGGGCCGCTGAGGTACCGCCGCAGGTACTCGGCCTTGGACAGGCCCTGCGCCGCCATCTTGGCGCCACCGGAAGGGACGGCGAGCGCGCGGCGCCACGCGGGGGCGGGGCCGAGCGGCGGTGGGCGGGGCGGGGCGGTGGGCGGGGCGAGGGCGAGGCGGTGGGCGGGGCGAGGGGCACCGGCAGCACCAGCACACACCAGCACTCCAGGAACAGGTTTTATTGGGGGGGTCGCAGCCCAAACCGGCCTCCCCCCGCCCCCACAGCTCGGCCGGGCACCTCCCCGGGCGGCCCCGGCCCCCCACAAGCCCCGGTGCCCCCCCAGAGCCGGCAGGGGAAGAGGCCGGAGGGGTCCTGTTGCGCCCGGCTACCGGCCCGAGGCTCCCTCTGACTCGTAGCCCTCCGTCTTCATGTCGTTCAGGCCCAGGTCTTCGTTCTGCTCAAACGTACGCTCGTAGCGCTCCACCTTCAGCTCCGGGTCGTCCTCAGGGGCGTACACGTTCTGCGGGGGGCGGGGGGAGAGCAAGCCCTCCTTCACACCCCTCTTCTGCGCGGGTTGGGCACCAGCACCCCAGCAATGGCCAGGGGCTTTTGGACAAGATCCACCCCCCACCCGGGGCCAGAGTTGCCCACCACTGCAGAGAGAGTGTGACTGGGGGCAGACCGGACCCCCACCCTCCCAGTGCCTAATCGTGGGGAGCCGGCACGGCTCCCGTCTCCCTTCCCACAAAGCCACCAGCGGGTGCCCTGTGCTGCACAGAGCCGGCAGCAACTCGCTCAAGCCCAGAGCCCCAAAGGGAACGCTGCCTTCCAGCACTCCGCAGGGAAATACAGAAGAAAACCCACCCAAACTGCTCAGAATACTTCAAGGAGTTCGTGTTTCCCGTGCACAACACTGTACCTGAAGATAGCTGTTGCCTGCAGGGTCATCCATGATGAAGTGAGCCTTTGTCTTTCCCTCTATGACCTGCAGAGAGAGCACGAGCAGAGCGAAGGCTCTCTGTAATCCTTCTGCACTCCTGGGACGGAGACACTTGCAGCATGCCTGAGACAGCTCTAACACTTTCCGCAGTTAAAAAGCACTAACAGCTTGCTCAAATAAACAAGCAAGCGTGGAAGAAAAGGTAAGGTGACGCTTGGCGAGGAGTTCAGATAAACGCACCTCACAGCACAGCGACAGCGGCCAAAACCACCCGGCAGAGCACAGAAAACTCGGAGCGCGCTCACCTGTTGCAGTTTCCCAAGGAACTCCTGCAGCTTCCCCGTTTGTCTGGGCGTAGAGCTGTCCCCCAGGGTGAAGGGGTTCCTCTCCACCTGGAAGTGTGGACCCGCTCGCTCAGCCCCAGCCCCGCCGCCGGGCTGAGCGTTACCACGGAGGGCCCCCAGTTCCCCGGGACGCTCACCAGCTCCCTGATGTCCTTCAGCAGCCCCTCCAGCGTGGTGAACTTCCCGCCCAGCGCTCCCATCCCCAGCTCGAACTCCAGCTCGGGGATCTCCACGCTGCACGTCTCCGACTGTGAGGGCGAGCACCCCATGAGTCCCCGCGGAGGGACGGCCGGGCCCCCCGCAAGGGGATGGGGCAGGTATCCGAGGGGACCCCACCTTTAGGACATCCCTCGTCATGTCGGAAGGGTCTGTAATCCGCAGGGTGATCCTGGTGCCCTGCGCTTCGATCGCTCCTCCCGACTTCACCTGGGAACACCCGGCAGTCAGCCTCACGGACTTTTATCCTTAAAAATGGCACCACCATGCTTTAAGAGGTTTTACCCCGGCGGCGCAGAGCCCGCTCCAAACCCAGGGACAGTGCCCACACGCAGGGGACTCGCACCCCATGGCGCTCTTGGAGAGCAAATTCTCCTCTTTGCTTGCTGAGGGAGGCACGTGAGGCCCAGCCCAACCTCAGCACGCACCCAGCCTCCGTGCAGTTCAGGTACGATCCAGCCCCTACGCAGAGGCACAGCAGCTCTGCGACACCCCCCCTACCCCCAGCCCCCCTCCCCAAACAGCCACGCTGTCAGGTAGAGCCCAGGGACCCCGAGAAACCCACGCAGGCACAGCATGCCGCTCCCCTCTGTACTTCCCCCCCCCCCCCCCCCCCCCCCCCAAAAGGCCCAGAAGTTTCCCAGCTCACCTCATTTGTCCTGTGCCCGCAGGAGTCGCAGTTTGTGGCCATGATAATCACTTCCTTGAAGTGGGGGATTTCTGGAGCGGACAGTCAAGGAAAACTCAACAAAAGTAAAGTCTCAAAGCAGCAGCCTGCCCCCTCCTCGTGGCCCCGGTCCTTCCCAGGGTACTGCAGGAGCTCGCTGGCAAGATGCAAGCGGCTCCGAGAGAGACTTGCACCCTGCCAGGCTCTACTAGGAATGATTTATTGATGTTTTATGGGCACAGCAGGACGAGACGTGCGTCGGCACCCAGAGTGACTGGGCCCCCGCGCAGCCAGCGCCGACCCGCACCCCCACGCAAAGGATACGCACTAACTTCATGTTGGTGTTGGCTGGCGCGTTGCACTCGGGGCAGTTGGTGTTGAACTGCAGCACCTGGGGCGCGGGGAGGGAAAGGAGAACCGGCAAGTCCCGGCCAGCCCAGAAAGCCTGACCCAGGTGCCCCCCACCCGGGCACGGCCGCCGTCGCAGAACCACCCACCTCGTTCCTCAGATCCTCTGCAGATTCCGCTGGGTGCTCATCCGAGTCCTCCCCCTGCGAGGGGGGACACCAGAAGCGGCATTAAGCTCTGCTCCCGCATTGAGGGTGCCCCGGAGAGCGAGGGGGCTGATCCGCCCCGCTCCCCCGGGCCGGGAGCGCCCGGCCACGGCTCCCCGTTACCTCCAGTCCCAGCATGGCAGCCTGCTGGGGAGTCCTGCGGTAGCGGCTGACCACGAGAGCATCGTCCCTCAGCGGCGCCCGCGGGTTCTCCACGAAGCTGTTCCCCGAGGGATCGTCTAGGACCTGGGGGGAAGGGAGCCTCAGGGGGCCCGTCCTGCATCCCCCCCTCCTCGGAGCGAGGGGCCATGCTCCCCCACGCACTCACAAAGGTGAAGGAGGAGCGCACTTCCTTCAGCTGCCTCAGTTTCCCAATGAACTCGTCTATTTTTGCAGCCACCTCTCGGTCTGTCGCCTGCAAGAGGTTTGAGAGCGGGGCTGGCCAGAGCTGAGCCCAATGCCGACAGCAGCACAACCCCGAGAGCCGGCGCCACGCTGAGCAGCCGGCAGAGGAGGAGCAAAACAATTATCTGCCAGGCGGGCGTCCCCCCAAAGGCAGCCCCTGCCACAGCAGCTTACCCTGCGCACGGGCTGGTCCTGCTCCAGGCCCATGATGGCTCTGTCAATTATCCCTTCGACGGTGGTCAGAACTTGAGGAGGGAAGGAAACAGAATCAGCGGCGCCGTGAAGTGCTCTGCCACAGTGCCACCCACCCTGCCAGCTGGTCCCGGCCACGGCAGCCCGGCACAGGGGGCTCTCGCAAGCCCCTGGGCAGGAGGGTCCCGAAGCGGAGGGGCACCCACCTCCCTTCTGGGTGAAAGCGGGGATCTCGAAGTCCAGCTCCGGAATTCGAGCCGTGGCACAGTCCATCTTCACCACTTCCCTGTCCATGTCCTGCGGGCGAGGAGCGTTAGGAGGGGGTCCCCGAGGAGGGGGTGGGGGGCAGGCGCTCCCCCCGCGCTGCTTCTGCTGCGGGAGGCGGAGCAGCCTGGGGGGGTCCGGGGGGGGGGGGGGGGTGCGAGGCGCTCACCCGGCGGGAGGTGACGGCCAGGGCGTAGCGCACCCCCAGCTCCTGGATGCGCCCCGCCGACTGGATCTCGGCGTCGGACCAGGCGCAGCTGCCGCAGCTGAAGGAGCTGACGATGATCTCTTTGAAGAAGGGGATCCGGGTGAGCAGCAGCCGCGTCACCCCCTGCGGCAGCGAGGGGCCCGGTGGGAACCCGAGGCCTGCGGGTCCCCAAAACGCCCCCCCCCCCCCCTCCCCGCCGCCCCCCCCGCCCGCCTCACGCTGCGGAAGCAGTTCATGCAGAGGGACTCGATCTCGGCTGGCCGCTGCTCGCCCTCCTCGCCGCCGAGGGGCCGGAACAAGGACCCGCCGCCCGCCTCCGCCGCCCCCAGCGCCGACATCTTGCCCCCGCCGCCCAACCGCGCCTGCGCGCCGCGGCCACGTGGGGCGGGGGAGAGTCACGTGAGGGGGGGAAGCGCCTCACGTGGGGCAGGCGGCCCGCCATGGCAGCGCCTTTATGGAGGCGCCGCTTGAGCGAGGCGGGGGCCGCCCCGGCCACGCCCCGGCCACGCCCTGACACGCCCCGGCCACGCCCCGGCCACGCCCCGCCGGCGGGCCCGCTCCCCCCCCAGCGCTGAGCCGTCGCCTCCCTTGCGTTTCCCTCCCAAGCTGCCTTTTCCCCCCCGCGGGGGGGAAATGGCAACGCTTCGGGCTCGGGTCTGCCCCCCCGCGAGGGAGCCGGCTGCTGGCACCCGGGCCTTTAACTCGGGAGAGCGCCGCGATGTTTGCGCTGAGGCAAACGGGGACCCGCGGGGCAGCGACGTGTCCCCCGGTGGGCCGGGGTGCGGGGCCGGGGTGGGGGCTCCCTGCGGCGGGGGGCGAAGTCCAGCGCACCGCAGGGGTGACGCTCTGAGCCGCCGCCAACGCCCCTCCGGCACCAAAGTCCGCTCTGCACCCCCACCCCACAGGAAATCCCACCGTCATCAGGCCCAGTCCCGTTCCTCCTCCCTGAGCTCCCGGGGACCGGGTCCTGCTCCCTGCCTGTCCCAGCCCCCCGCGTCCCGCCACGGTCCCCCCGGAGCTGTGGGGTGGGGGGGTTGAGCTGTCCCTGCCCCACTGGGGCAGCAGCCGGACCCCGCTGCGGTGGGGCTGCTGGGGCTGCGGCCCCTCTCCAGCCTCCCCAGTGCCCCCCAGTTGCTGCGGGGACACCCTGGGCCCCAGCCCCGCGCTGGCTGGTGGGCTCACTCGGCTGCAACCACCCCTGCGCCTGCAGAGACCTCCACCCGCCCGGCCCCAGCGCTGCTCCCCCTCGGGGGTGCCCCGGGACCCCAATTCAGGGGGGACGCCGTCCCCTCGGAGCAGGTGCTCCCGCCGGGGGGCAGGAGGGCGCGATGCTGCGCGGGAGGGACACAGACCAGCACACGTGCGTCACAAAGCGGAGGTTTATTTCTGCTTTGGGGGCGAGGGGGGCTCTTAGTTCTCCGCCGGCTGGGTGGTGCTGAGGAAGGCGGCCACCTTGTCCCGCACCTCCTTCTCCAGCAGCTCCAGGTGCTCCTCCACGCCGGCGGTGCCCGAGTCCAGCTTGCCCCGCATGGCCTCCAGCCGCTCCACCAGCTGCCGCCCCACAGTCTCGCCGAAGGGGGCTGCCTGCTGCCGGAAAGCCGCCAGCGTCTGCCCCACGCGCTCGTCCAGCTGCTGGGCCAGCGGGGCCAGGCGCTGCGGCAGGCCCTCGGCGTCGCCGCTGGCCGCTTGCCGCAGCTCCTGGGCCAGCTCGCTCAGCTGGGCATGCAGCTCCTCCGATCTGGTGGCCAGGCGGGCGCGCAGCTCCTCGGCCGCCTGCTCCATCTGCGCCGTCAGGCTCTCGAGCTGCCGCTCCAGGCCGTCCCGCACATGCTGGGCATAGGGGTCGAGCCCCTGCCGCAGCTCCGCCATGCTCTGCCCCACCTGCGCCTTCAGCTCCTCGCTCAGCGGGGCCAGCCGCTGCCTCAGGCCGTCCACCCCGCCGTCGATCTGCTGCTGCAGCCGGTCGGCGTAGGGGCCGAGGGCGGCCTGGACGCTCTCGGCGTTGCCCTGCAGCCGGTCCCGCAGCTCCGCGGCGTAGGGCTCCAGTGCTCGCCGCAGCTCCCCGGCGCCGTGGTCCACCTGCGAGCGCAGCTCCTCAGCATAGGGGCTCATCTTGGCTTGCAGCTGGCGGATGTTGGTGCCGATCTGCTGGTGCACCTCGTCGGCGTAGGGCGCCAGCTTGGCCCGCAGCTCATCCAGCTCCTGCCGGATCTGCTCCTTCAGCCGCCGCGAGTCCTGCGCCAGCCGCGCCTGCAGCTCCGTGGCGAAGGGCACCAGGCGCTGCTGCAGCTCCTCGGCGTACGAGGTGACGCTCTTCAGGTTGCTCTTCAGCAGCGTGCTGAAGGGGAGAGGGGAGGGCGGGGGGACACGTCAGCGCCCGCCGTGCCCGCAGCCCCCTCCCCAGCCCCGCAACTCCACTCACTTGAGCTGCTTGCTGATCTCAGCTTGCTGCAGCTGGTCCACCGTCTCCTTGGCGTGGCTGCCCAGCTCGGTGAAGTACTTCCAGAGGACGCCGGCCACCTCGTCCGGGTTGACATCAGCCCGTGCCCCTGCCAGCGGGTGAGGGGGTCAGCACCGGCACGGTCCCCCTCGGCAGCTCCCCCGTGTCCCCACCGCTGCGCCGGGGCTCAGCCACCTTCCCAGCACCGGGGACCCCCACGCCGCCTCACCTGAGACCACCAGAAGCGCCAGGAGAAGAGCGGCCGCCCTCGGAGACATCCTGAGCGCCGGGGGATGACCTGCGGGAGCGCAGAGCGGAGCTGAGGGGAGCCCCGGCAGCCCCCCAGCCCCTCGCCGCCTCCCGCCACGCACTGCCGGGCCTCCCCAGCCCCGCACACAGCTGCTCACCTGTGCTGGTACCTGCTGTGCCGGGGAGCACCTGGCCCCTATTTATGCAGCCCGAGCGGCCTCGGCGGCTTCCACGCAGGCCTGTGACGGGGCCCCCGCGCTTGGACTTTAGCAAGGTCACGACGTGGAAGCGGCTGACGTGCGCGCAGCACCCTGACATCACCCACAGCCCTGCCCGCTGCCGGCGGGGTGCCCGTGGACAGGGCGGAGAGGGGATGGGGGCACCTCGGGGGCCGAGCCCCTCGCCGGGCCGGGGACCCTTGGGGCAGAGGGGACAGCCCGTGGCGGGGGGCAGCCCCCCCTTCCGCAGCTCCGTGGGGTGCAGTGACGGCCCCCGTGGTGCTGGGATGCTGCGGCGCGGGGTGCAGGATGGCACCGCTCCCCCCTCCCCGGGGAGCCCTGCATGGCCCCGGCCGCGGGCACCGGGCGCTCGGCGCGTGGCCCGGCGCGGCGTGGCAGGGCGGTGAGGTGCCCCACGGCCGCAGCACCCCGCAGCATCGCGCCGGGCCGGCTGCGCCCACGGCACACGCCTGCCCACGCGCGGGGACACGCGTGCGCGGCCCCCGGCGGCCTCGCTCCCTGCGGGATTTCCCAACTCCCTGGGCCCTGGCAGCGCGACCGGCCCCTGCGGACGCCCCCCCCCACCCCCGCCCCCCCCCAGCCCCGCTGCCCCTGACCTTTGCACAATTACCCCCGGGGGCAGCCGGGGGATGGTATAAAGGGGGAGCTCGGGGCTGCCCCCGCGGAGCAGAGCCCGGAGCAGGTGAGTGGGGAAGCCCCTGGTGAGGGTTGTGCAGGGAGGGGGCTGGAGCCGGGGCTGGGACCCCGCTGCTGCCCCACACCGTGTGCTCTGCTCTCTCCCCAGCCATGAAGGCATCGCTCCTGCTCCTGCTGGGCTGCACGGCCATCCTGGCAGTGGGAGCAAGTAAGGGCTGGGCAAGGGCCGCGGCAGGAGGAGGGGTACGGGGCTCGGGGTGCCGGGGCGGGGGGGCACGGCCCCGTGGCCCCGTCCCCCCGCTCCCACCAGCCTTGTGCTTGCAGGGGCCGATGAGCCCGAGGAGCCGGAGGCGCTGGTGAGGAAGGTGGAGGAGTACGCCCAGAAAGCCGCGGCCATGGCCAAGACCGCCATCAGCACGGTGCAGGAGTCGGAGGCGGCTCAGCAGGCCAGGTGCCCCCGCAGCCCCCCCCCACCCCCGCGGCCCAAACACCCCTCCCCGGCACCCCCACGGCCCTGGGGGGGACCCTGGCCGGCGCCCCGCTCTGAGCCCTCTCCCCTTGCAGGCGCTGGCTGGAGGACAACGCCGCCCTGGCGAAGCAGCGGCTGGCCTGGCTGAAGGAGCAGCTGGTCGAGCTCTGGAAGGGGCCGCCCGGCGCGTAGCTCCCCCCGGGGGCTGGCGGGGGGCCGGCCGGGCTGGGCTCCCCCCGGCCCCCCCACCCGCTGTCGCAGTTCCTGCAATAAAGCGGCGCTGAAGCGGAAGGTTGTGGTGGTGTCACTGGGGGTGGGGGGGGCTGCGGGGGGTGGGGTGGGGTGTGCAGCGAGGAGGAGTGTGCGCGGAGGAAGGGCTGGGGGAGACGCCCGTGCCGGGGTGCCGGGACCCCTCGCCATGGGGCGAGCACCCGCGCGTGGGTGCCCAGGGCGGCAGGAGCTGGGGGGCTGCTCCGGCAAGCTGGGGGGGGGGGGGGGTCCAGCTTCTGGAAAAGCAGCCCCCCGCCGTGCCAGCGCTTCGTGCAGGGAAGCCACGCACGGGGACAAGCCCGGCTGCACCCCGAGGAGCCTGGGGCACCCACCCTGCCCCTGCCCTGTCCCCCCACGGCCGCTGGGTCCCCCCGACACCCCCTGCCCGGAGCACCCCTCGGCCCCAGTGCTGCGTGCGAGCTGTGCGGGGGGCCCCAGCCCCCCCCCCCCCCAACCCCCCCCCGCCTCCAGCATCCACTGCAAAGACTGAGCGAGCTCCAATAACTTAAGTCGTGTTTATTTGACAAAAGGAAGGCAAAGCGGAGGCCAACGCTGGTTCGGGGCGGGGAGGTGGCGGGAGGGGAGGAGGAGGGTCCCCGGGGGGGACGCCCCGGGGCTCCCGCGGCCGAGCCCCCCCCGGGGGGAAGCAGCCCGGGCAGCAGCCCCGGGGGCGGCCGCGGGAGCAGGGCCGGGGTCAGTCCCTGGCCGCGCCGGCCGGCGGCTCAGGCCACGCTCTTCTGGAGCTCGTCCAGGAAGTTGAGGAAGCGGCTCTTGAGGTTCTCGGCGTAGGGGGTGAGGCGCTCCTTGAAGTCCTGCACCAGCGGCGTCACCTTCTCGCGCAGGTTGCTGAGGTGCTCCACCACCTTGGCCTGGTACTCGGCGGCCTGGGGGATGCCCTTCTCCCGGATCTCCTCCAGCTTCTGGCTCAGCTTCTGCCGCAGCTCGTCGCTGTAGGGCGCCAGGTTCTTGCGCAGCTCCTCCACGTGCCCGCGCAGGCGGTCCCGCGCCTCCTCGGCGACCGGGGTCAGCTTCTCCTGCATCAGCTCCACCTTCTGCTTGGTGAGCTCCTTCAGCTCCTGGGCCACGGGCGCCAGGCGCTGCCGGTACTGCTCCAGCTCCTCCGTCCACTTCGCGGAGAACTGGTCCAGGAAGGGCCGGATCTTCTCCTTCACCTCCTCCAGGTCCTTGGTCAGCTCCTGGCGCAGGGCCTCCGTGTCCTTCAGCCACATCTCCCGCACCTCCTTGTAGTAGGGGGCCATGTCCTCCCGCAGCTTGGCGACGGCTGCGCCCAGCGTGTCCAGGTTGTCGGCCAGCTTCAGGCTGCGGGGAGCGGGGGGGGGGGGTGTGGGGTGTGGGTGTCACACCCGGCGCCCAGGGACCCCCCGCCAGCCCCCTCCACGCACACCCGTTGTCCCCGCTCCGCCCCCCCCCTCCCCACTTACTCCAGCTGTTTGCCCACGGCGGAGGACTCGAACTGGGCGATGGCATCCTTGCCGCTGGCCTTCACCGTCTCCAGGTACACGTCCACCATGTCCTTGAGGCGCTCCAGGGGCGCCTGGGGTTCGTCATGCTGCCAGAAGTAGCGGGCCTGGGTGCCTGCGGGGAGAGCCCGCAGTCAGGACGGACTGGGCGGCGGGGGCGGCGGCGGGGGGGGCTCCAGCCCTGCCCGGGGACCGGCCCGGCCCGGGAGGGTCCCAGGGGGCCGCTCGGCTGCCCCGTCCCGCTCCGTCCCGCCGGGGGTCTGCGGCCCCCCCAGCGCCGGTCGGACCTACCCGTCAGGCAGAGCAGGGCGAGGGCCACCACCACGGCTCTCATCTTCGCGCCGAACCTGGGGGGCAGAGCAAGAGAGAGTTGGGGCAAAGCCAGCCCCGGCGGGAACCGAGCCCCCCCCCCCCCCGCCCCGGCACGTCGGGCACCGCGCTGCCTCCCGGCCCCGTGGCCCCGCACCCCCGGGCTGGCGGGACCCGCGGGGGCTCGGGAGCGGCTCGGGCGCTTACCAGCTCCGTCCCGCCGGTCGTCCCCGTCTGAGCCGGCCGCTTCCCGGCCGCCGCTATTTATGCAGGAGGGGGGCAGTTCCCGCCGGAGATAAGCCAGCGCTGCAGCCCAAGAAATCGCTCCCCGGCGCGGGCGATGTGGCGCGTAGAGTTCAAGGATCGCGCGCGTGGGCCAGCGCCGTGGAGCGCCGGCTTGGCAGGGGCGGCGAGCAAACAGGAGCTCCCGGCGGGACGCGGGTGGCCGGCCAAGGAGCCTGTTTACGCTCCCGGTGACCCAGATTCCCGCTCGCCGCCGCGGCCTCTCGGCAGCCCCCGGGGACTGGCCGCCAGCCCGGGGAGCGGGTCTGTACCCGCGGGGATTTAGCCTGCCGTACCCCAGCCCCTCGCCCCCGCCGCGGGGCCCTGCCCCCCCCCGTCCTTCCGCGGGCCGCTCGGACCCACGCCGCTCCCCCCACCCCCTTTTCCCGGCGCAGCCCCGCTGCAGGGGTCCGCGCCCCCCCCCCCCCCCCCCTCCGCGGTCCGGGCTTTTGGGGGGACAAGCCGGGGCAGGGAGGGCAGCGGCCGCGACCCCGGCCCCGCAGGAGTGGGGCGAGCCGGCTCGAGGTACCGACGCCCCGGTGGGTGAAGCTGGGGGGGGGGCACAGCGGGAGAAGGGCGCTGACTCGCGGGGGGCGAGGACCCTCTCCCCCCCCCCCCCGGCAGAGGAGCGAGGGCGGCCGCGCTGCCGCACCTTGAGCTTTCGCCCCCGGGGCTGCTCCACCTCCGCGGGGCGTTGGGCAACAAGGCAAACAGGAGACGGGGGTGGGGGGAAGATCATAATCATGGTTTTATTTGTCATGATCCCACTGTCCAACTAACTGACTAGTTGCAAGTGACCCACAAAAAATCGGACTGAAGGTTTACTGAAACTTCTTGGGTTTAGTCCAACGTAAATGAGGAAGAAAAAAATACTTCTGACATTTCCAAAAAACAGAAATAATAGCAAAGTATATTAATATACATTCAACATATACTGCGCGTATTGATTACTACAATACAAAGCGATGATAAAAAAAGTGTGATACTGCGAAATGGCACGGGTAAGCGAGTCCCTGCTGTTTCGGATGCTTGCTGGAGGGTGGCCGCCGGCTCTCCCAGAAGTACAGTGTCATGTAAACGAAAGGAAAACAAACCAAAGGTACGGAGCGAAAGGCTTTCAGCGTGTCCCCGGCTCGCCCCGCTCGCCCCCCCCGGGGGGGGGGGCCCGGCCGCGGGTCCCTCCCCGCGCGTCCCGGGGGGCCGGTGGCGTCACTGCCCCGGGGCAGGGGAGAGGCGCGGGTTAAGGACAGCAAAGTCACCTCTGCCGTGCTGGTTTCACACTTCCTTCTGTGCAAATCGAGGAGGGCTGGGTCGGTTTTTCCTCTTGTTAAAAAATGTTCCAGAAAAGTGTCGATGAGAAGGATGGGAGCTGTCACTTGTAGAGTCCCAAAAGGCAACGAGGACACCAAGTGCTCCCGAGCCCCGGCTCGGGGAGGGCTTCACGCTCTATCCGTCAAGGAAAGGATGGAAAGAAGGACAAAGAAGAAGAGCTCTATGCACGTCTGAACTGGATAAAGGAGAATACCACTGTCGCCACTGGCACGAGAGAGAAAACCAGTCACAAGTACAATGTCATCAAAAGAAATAAAATACTTTGAACAGAAGGTGCAAGTCACAATTCATATAGAACAGAATCTAGTTAAAAATTTCTCTCAAACAGAAAGTCCTTTTGCCTTTTATTAATAACAATAATAATAAAACAACATTTACCAAAAAACAACTCCTACGTGATTGGGAGGAGAAGCTAAGAAAACAAAGAAAAAAAAAAAAAATCTGCCTTCCCTACATGAAGCCAGGAAAAGGGAGGAAAAAAAAGCAAACCCAAGTCGTATGCGGATTTGGAAAGAAAAGGTTGGAGGGGGCGGGGGGGAGGCGATCCCTTGGGCACGCTGACCGACGGAGAGAAGGAACAGAAGCGGACACAGATGAGACCAGAAGCGTATCGCACCGGGGCGGGTGCTCCCCGCCGGGGCACGGCCGGGGCCGCAGCGTCCTCGCCCCCCGGCTCCGTCACGCTGGGCCCCTCCCCAGTGCAAAGGGGGGACGAGTGGAAGGACAGCGCGGCCTCGGGGAGGGCTCCGCCGCGCCGCGCCGTGCCGTGCCGCGCTCGCCGGGGCGGCCCCGGCCCCTAACAGCCCTCCCAACCAGCCTCAGCGCTCGGGCTCCGTGAATCCTCTGCCGACGTGCAGGACGCGGGGTCTCCGCTCATTTCTCTGGTAGCTGGAGTTACAGGGAAACATGGCAAAACGTAAAGAAACCAAAAGGAACGACACACGGGATGAGCTGACTATGAGGAAAGGGGCCATGGTATTCCAGTTAGTCAGAAATACTACGGCAATTTGGCGCAATGCTGCTAGATACTGTTGGTTTAAAATGGACCTTTTCGTTTCAAAGCTGTACATAAAACCTGCAAGAAAGAGAAGAAGCAGAGGTGTTAGGAGACCCCGGAGAGCAACGAGCACTCGTGCTTCCGCAGCCCTCCGCCGCGTTCCCAGCCCGGGGAGGGGACACACACCCCCCCCCCCACCCCGTCCCCAGCGAAGGGGGGACAGCAGCCAGCCCCCCGCGCGCAGGCTCTGGGCCCCTGTCCCCACAGCCAGGGGCCAGGGAAGGGGCCAGGGCTGCGAGCCAGGCCACCAGGCCCTGGGCCTGCCGTCGGCGAGCGGCTGGGAGGAGGAGGATGCCGGAATACTCACTTCCTCCTGGTTACACCCCCGCCTGCTCCATCCCGAAGGGCACCTCGGGGTGCTTGTAGCTCAGCAGGACGTCTGTAATACACGTCGACGGGTAACAGGAGGTGTTTAGATGCTGGTTGCCATCACCTAGGTTGGGATGCTCTTGACCTTCCAAACTCTCCCCGCACTCTGCAAGGCGGAGGAGCAACGTCGGCGCTGGGGAGCCGCAGCTCCAGGGTGGGGGCCGGGCCAGGAGGCTGCCGTGGCGCCGGCGGAGCTGGCCCGCGGCTCCCCGGGAAGGCCGGACCCCCGCCCCCGCCAGCGGCACCCCCGGGGCCCCCCCGCGCCCCCCGCTGAGCCCCCGCGGCCGGGTCCTCACCCTCGCCCTCCCTGTCGCGCAGCTGCTGGCTGGCCATCAGCGAGGACTGGCTGAGGACGGCATCGGACATCCGAGCAGAGCTTAGTGCTTTTCCTGCCATTAAGCTCATTCCAGGCAAGTTATCTAACTGCACCTGCGGAGACAGCGGGACACGGGTCAGGAGGGGCTCGGGACGAGGCACCCCGCTACCCCCCCGCTCTGACAGGCTGCCCGGGGAGCTCCTGCGAGCCTTCGGAGAGGCCGTCCCAGCGCAGGGAAAAACCGCGCAGCCGCTGTCCCGTCGAGGGAAGAAGGGGCTGGCCAGGCCGGACCCCCCCCCAGACCTGCCCCGAGCAGGCAGGGCAGAGCCCTCCCTCCTCACGTACAGCAGAAGGGAGCAGCGGCGGCACAGAAGGCAGCCAGGTTTGGGCGGGACGGCTCCCAGCGGCCCAAAGCAGCGGGGAAGCGGAGCGGCCGCGCTCTGCTCTCGGTCAGGGCTCGGGGCTGCCCCGAGCCCCCGCAGGCAGAGCCAGGCCCGGGGCAGCCCGGAACATTCCAGTGGAAGGAGCGCGGAGGAAGGAGAAGCGCCGCCCTGGCCGCAGCAGCCAGCCCTGGGGCGAAGCACGAGCGAAGGAGGGGCGCTTCCGTGCAGATCTCCGCTCCAACTTGGCTGCGAAGCGAAGGGGACGGACGGACGAACGGAAGCGCCCGCAGGGCTTTTCGCCCCCAGCAGCCCCGTGGGGCGGGGCGCTGCCCTGCCTAAAGGACACTGGTACAGAACCCACGCGCCAAGGACGCTGGGCGGTGGCGTGAGCCCGGCCGGGCACGGGCTGCGGCAAACCTACGTAGGCATCATCACTGTTCTGAATGGTGTGATGTCTCTGCAGGGTCCGGGGCCGCGGGTGCTCGCTGGAGGTGGGACGCGCCGGGTAGCCCAGCCCGTTGTGGTCGGGCCCCTGCATCGCTTGGCCGGGGGAGCTCCTCTCCATGCAGTTCCCTACGATGGACTCTTGGAAAGCAGACAAGAGAGAGGAGCGACAGATTAGTACCAGGAACCTGCAGCTCCCCGCGCCGCCGAGGCCTCGGAGGAGCGCTCGGCGCCGCCGGAGCGGGGTGCTGCTGCCCGGGTGCAGAGGGACCCCTGGCTGCTCTTGTCGCAGTGGGGCAGCGCCGGGGCCCTGCCGGACGGCACTGGGGCAGGCTTCCCCCGCCACCTCCGAGATCCCCAAAGATCTCAAGGCTGGCTGCCTCCGATCGGGTCTGCAAAAGCGGGCGAGAGAGGGCCAGGCGAGCACGGCCCGGGCAGCGGGCCCTTTGTGACTGCCGCCCGGCCTCCGAGCCCCAGCTCGCCCTCCTCCCTCCATTGCCCAAGTCATTACACAAGAGCGGGGGGGAGAAGCATCTCCCCAGCCTCCAACACGGGACATTCCAGCAGGGCCTCTTGGCAATTGCAAGCAACATAGCCTCGCTGGAAGAGTTGGCCAGGATGTTCGCTTTTATCAGATGACTTCTCCCTGCCCTCCTACAATCTGGCTGCAGGACTACACGAATGTTCTGCCTGGCAAAGTCCATCTGCACCGCAAGCTCTTATGACCGAGGGTAAAGGCTACATTCCTATCAAGCGAAACCGCTCGTCATCAAGTACACAGTGTTTTGAATAAAGTCCTGAGGTATGGAGAAGCCTATCACAGGGCCTGATGGACGTAAACAGCTCTCTGTCAGCAAGCGGTCCTGCGGAGCCCAAACATGCCGACGTGGCCAGGAGCAGGAGGGAGCTGCCCTGAAATGACGCAGCTGCAGGTAGATCCCCCCCCGGCCCAGAGCGACGGGTCCGCGGCCAGCGGGACCCCGGCTCCCGCCGGGGCTGCAGCTGAAGGATGCTCCCCAAGGCGACCTGCCCGCCAGGCCGCCAGGCTCCGGAGGGGGCCCCGTCCCGAGCACAGCCCCCGCCGCTGCCCAGCACAGGGCTCCCCGTGCCCTCCCTCCCCCCGAGACACCGCAGCCCTGCAGCAACCCCGGCCCGGGGCAGCTGGAGACGCGGCCGGCCTCCCCCCTTTCTTTGCACAACCGCGGGGTTACGCGCGGTTAACAGTCAGCTTTCCCGGAAAGGCACGAAGGAAAACATGAGGTAACAGATGTCAGTGGAGCAGTGCCACCCACACGCGGCTCGGGAGGCCGCTCCAGCTGCGGGAACAGTTGCTCGGGCCGGCAGCCTGCCGCTCCGGCTCCACGGTGGGCTCCCGCAGCGAGCCCCGGCCCCAGCCCCTCTGCTGTGCTGTGCTGCGGGGGACGGTGGGATGAGCCCCCTCGGCCTGGAAAAGCCCGGACCCGAAAGACGACGGCACGCTTCCCCGGCAGCTCGGGGCAAGGGGCAGGACGGCCCGAACTGGGGCCCCTTTCCTCGCCCCCCCGCAGCCCGCGAGCCCTCCATCCCCGCGTCCCGAGGGCTCCGGCGCCAGGCGGCCTTTGTGTGGGAGCAGCATGTGATGCTGGCACCGCGGGCACGGCCGCGGCCGCCAGCTCGGCTCCTTCGGTGCCGAGGTGAGGCACATTTCCCATGGGCAGCATTCCCAGCCCCGTGACGGCTGGGCTGGAGCAAAACTGGAGCAGAGCCGCTCAAAGGCGGTTTAGCCACCTCCCAAACACAGAGCTGGTCGACGCTGTCACGGCCTCCGGCAGGCGCTCGCCGGACCAGCCCGGGCTTCGTGCTCGGGGGTCCCCACGCTCCCTCGGCGGGCACAAACACTCCCGCGCCGCTGCAAAGTTACACCCCGCTCTAGGGAAAACACACGGGGCGAGCTGCTGGGGCGGGGGAGGCGGTATCTCCCCTCTCCAGAGAGGCTGCGGCCTCGGAACGCAGGGTGGGGAAAGCCGCGGGCAAAGCCAGGGATGCGGCTGTCGGCCCCATCGCTGGGGGAGAGGAGCCAGGCCTGGCCGGGGCGGGCGTCACCCCCCGGCGCTCGGGAACGCCAGCACGCTCGCGGCACCGACGCGGAGGTTCTGGGGGGTTTCTGTGGAGGGAAGGGTACCCGGGCCGCGCGGGGGCCGAGCCCGCCGGGAACCGGAGCAGCGCCGGCCCCATTCCAAGTGGGTTATCGAAGCCGGGAGGAAAGCAGAGCGAGCAGCTGCATCTCAGCACATAGTTTACTACGTGAGCCCTCCGAAGAGCGCTGCCAGAAGAGCTTACACAACGCTATTTGTAAACATTTACTTGCTTTTACTCATTTACGAAGTCTTGTAGTCTAAAGTTCTCTTCCCTTGTGTAACCGCTTCTAGCACCATCAGGGCACGGGCAGAAGGTTAGCTTCTGACTTCAGGTAACCTCGCTGTTCATCGAAGGCTCTACGACGGTCAGGCTCTTGGCTTGGTGCCAAACGCACCCCCAGAGTCCCCAGGCTCTGCCTGGCGTGGGGCGATTCTTCCCTTTCGTGCGCCAAGCGCGGCAGGGAAACGGAGATGGGGGAGCAAACGCGCCGGTGACCCTGAGTTCGAGGGAAGTTCAGCGAGGCCGTGCCTCGCCCCTTCCCCCCGCGCCCGCGCTCCGGGGCACCAGGGCCTGGCGCGCCCGCTCTGCCCCCCCCGAGCCGACCTGTTCCAGCTCCGTACTTTCCCAAGAAACCCGCGCTGTGTCCCCAAACAAAGCCGTGCCTCCCGTGCCCAGGACACCGCTCCTCCGTGCCAAGGGCAGGCCGGTGGCTGCGGCCCAGGGCAGCTCCGCGCCGCACTGAATACTGATCCGCCCAGCCGGGCGGATCTCACCCCTCCTCGCGAGGGGCCCGGGGGGTGCTTTTCACGCCGAGGCAGGCCTGTAATCGCAGCTCGGGCGGGAATTTCTCTCGCCCAGCGCAGCCGCCGAGGAGCAAAGGCGCAACCGCTTCGAGCTAGCGGGAAAGGTTTTCCGGCGCGAGTCTCCGCTCGCTCTCTCCAAAGCCATCCCCTCTAGCTCAGGCAGAGGCTAGAGTCGGGCCGCTGCCTCCCAAAGCGCGGGGGGAGCTGCTGCGCCGTGCCCCCCCCCGCGCCCGTCCCTGAAAGGCCGAGCGCTGCCGGGACTCGGGGGGGGTCTGTCCTCGGGAGGAGCTGGGGGTAGGGCAGTGACCTCACTGCTCCCAGCCCCTCGCTCAGGCAGGATGGGGGACACGGCCAACGAGAATAAGGATGCCAAGAGCGCGCGGCAGCCCCGGAAGGACGGCAGCGCTCCGGGGCCCGCTCTTTACCTGCCTGCCCAAGCAGGTCAAATCCCCAAGAGAAGCAGCCGACGGGGCTCCCTTCTTATTCAACGCTGTTTATTAATTAGAGAGACTCTGCCTGCGGTTTCCTCCAGGCCACGGAAGCCAGCAGGAACGCGGGCAGTTCCGCGCTATGCAAAGTACGCGACGGGAGCCCTGGCGGGCTGGGCAGGGACAGCGGGGCGGGCGGCGCGCTGCCCGCGCCGAGCGCGCGGCGGCCACGCGAGCGGCAGGGAGCCTTACCTCTGCTGGGCACCTTATTCCTGCTGAATCCAGCAGCGGGCGGGTGGTGTCTGTACTGGTGCGTCCCCAGCTCCTGGGCGTGATTAGCAGTTCCTAGCAAAGGTTCTGGGTCCCCGTGCCCTCCCGCGTTTACCAGCAGAGGGGTCTCGTGGCAACCTTTGGTCAACGTGTTTGAACTCTTACTGTCCGGAAAGCTGTCCCTGGCCCCCTCGCACGCGCAGTCCTCCTCCATGCTCTCCGAGTGGAACAGGGCGGGCTGGTGCCCGTACCCGTGTGGCGGCACTGGCGCAGGTACCTGCTGGATACATTCTTGCGCCCTGATTTTTAGGAGATGCTGGGGGCTGCTCTGGGGGTGGTACGTGTCAGCGCTCTGATAAGGCAAAGACAAGGACTGGCGCTCCGAGAGGCTCTGTCCCACGCTGGCGCCCATGTTCCCGGCATCCCCTTGGCTCATGTGCCTGAACAACTCTTGAAATTCTTGCTGCTGCTGCTGCTGCTGCTGCTGCTGCTGCTGCCGCCGCTTGATGAGCTGTGCAAATTCTGCCTGGGGCAGCCGCATGTCCGTGTGCCCCGTGAGCGAGTGCCGGGGAGAAAGCAGTCCCTGGAGGATGTGCGGTACCTGCTGGTGTCGGCTGTAGTCGGGAGGCGTCGGGGACAACAGCGCTTGCTGTAGCGCCGATGCGGTGTAGTGCTGCTGTTGCTGATGTGCGTTCGGAGGGAAACTGGGGTACTGGTCGAGCTGCGGGACCTTCAGAGCCTGCTGAGCTGGAGGAAAGGCGACTCCTCCCGCCGGGCTGTAGCCGCTGGGGGACACGCGGGGCTGCTCCGGGAACAGGTGGGGGTGTAAGTGCACCTGGTCGTAGGTGGCGGGGGGATACCGGCTGCTCACGGTCAGGCTGCAAGGAACAGAGCGCCAGGCGTGAGCGCGCCGCGGGGGCTCCGGCCCCGGCCCCAGCCTGCCTGCCGCGGCCAGGAGGCAGGCGCCCGCCCCCTCCTCCTCCTCCTCCTCCTCCTCACCTGTGCGACTCGGCGCTGTCGGCGCTGAGCTGCTTGGACAACTGCCGGTGCCCGTAGGTGAGGGAGGCCATGAGGCTGGCGCGGTGCTGCAGCTGCATCTGGCCGGCGCCGGGGCTGAGCGGCATGCCCCGCGCGTGGGGGGACAGCCCCTGCCCGGCCACCGAGGCCCCTGGCAGCAGGTTGGTGCCGACCATGTCGCCGGGCTCCTGCACTTGGATAGTGACCTGCTGAGGCTGCGACTGCTGCGGCAGGCCCAGGCACGGCAGCCCCATGCTCGGGGGAGGGGAACAGTTACCGGACTGCGGGAAGATGGTGCTGTGGGACGGCATCCCTTGGAACTGGGGCTGGGAGGCGGCACCTACGGGGAACAAAGATCCTCAGCACCCGCACCAGCCTGCGGCCAGGCTCGGGCCACGCCGGGAGCCCCTCGCATGGATAGGGAAACAACAAAGCCGAGGTGACAGCGATTCGCGTAAGCCCGAGAAGACCAGCCCTTCCTCCTCCCCGCCCCCGGGCCCAGCGAGCGAGGACCTCATGAGCAGAAACCCAGCAGCACGTTCCAGCTGGCAGCTCCTCCCGAGCTCTCGACAACACCAGCCCTCGCGGCCAGATGGAGAATCTTCTTCCGCCAGCAGCAAACCGCGCGAGGCCGAGGCCGCGGCGGGGGCCCGAGCCCCCGGCACCCCCCGCCCCGCCTTCCCCGCAGGTCCTGGGGGACCACACGGTGCTGCCGCGCCGTCAGCGCTTACCGTGGGGCTGGAGCACGCCGCTGCTCACAGGAGGTGGGCTGCTGTTCGGCTGCCTGAAGAGATGGTTGTTCGGGTGGTTCGGGGGCGGGCTGGACGGCTGAATCCGTAACCTACGCGGGGAAACAAGCACCTCTTCATCACGCCTGCTCCTCATTAAGATGCCTTTTCAACTGCGCGAGCCGATGCCAACTGCTGCGCTCCTCTTGTTTTAAACGAGCACCGTGAAGCCCTGGGTCGGGATCCCGAGCTCTTTCCAGGCTGGCTTCTCTTCTGAGGCTTGCCCACGTAGCGAGCAAAAGCCGGTGGCTGCGAGGGAAACCCGGGGGCGCGGAGGCCACAGGCTCGCCCTCCTGACGCACTGTGCCCGCTCAGAAGCCTTCCTCTCTCCTCTCCCGCGACTCAGCCCGCCTGGCCTGCAAGCCAGGGCTGAGCCCGGGGCCGCTCACCCACCCGCCAGCCTGGAAAGGTGCGAGACGTGCCGCAGCTCCGAGTTGGAAGCCTGAGAGCAAGCGGCTACCGCCGGTAACGCGTGCGCGAGCTGGGCGAAAGGCAGAACTGCCAGTCGCCCGCTCAAAGCAGAGCCGTGCCTTTGAATCGTGTGTCCCTGCCCCTGCGAGCCCTTCAGACAGGATCTGGCTGGAAGGGCCGGGCACACTCCCCCGGGGAGCTGGCTCCGCCGTTCCGACTTCCCACGCTTCCAACCCTGCCTGGGACTCTGAGGGCCTCTGCTCACCCCCCGACCTCGAGGAAGCGCAAAGCCCGTCCCCCAGAGCTGTCCCGACACCACCGCTTTACCTCTGAAGCTGGTGAGTGAGCAGAGCTGGCTGGTTTTCACACGGAGCTTGCAAGGGCGGAGATGGCTGGGGTGGCCGGATGCAGTCCTGAAGCAGGCACCAGAAGGAAACAAGAAGCGTTTGCAGTCGGTAACGTCTCAACCAGTACGTTCAGAGAACACTGACTGCCGAGGAGGGACACGGCCAGCGTCGCCAACTACTCGGACAGGGCCCGCAGCTCTGCCTCTCGCAGCAGCTGTGCAAGCATCCCTGCTCACGGCCCCCGGGCTTGCCTCCCCAGCCCGCCCCGCTGAGCCCCGCCGGGCCCTGCCCCGCGGCGCCGGGGAACACAGCGAAGGCTGCGGGAGCTCCGGCCCAGGCTCCGCTACCTGGATCTGCTGATGAAGAATCTGATGGTGCTGCTCCTGCTGGTACAACATGTGCTGCTGCTGCGTCTTCTCCAGCGTCCTCTCGTCCATGTGCCCGCCATACATCTTCTGAAGCTGCTCGCACTCCTGGAACGAGCCCAACACACCCTCCCAGTGACCTTTCTGCGCACAGCGCAGTCGCTGCGCGAAAAGGCACGCTCTGCAGCCAACCTGCCTGGAGAAGCGTTAAAAAAAAAAAAAAAGCCCGATCCACTAAATTTGACAGAACCGGGCGCGCAACGAGGTGGCTAGCCCAAGCCTGAGACAACGGAGAAGAAAGGGGTGCACGTGACGCCAAGCTGGCTCCATCCCGCTCCCCTCAGAACGCAAGCGCGAGGCTCGAGCGACGGTAACGCCGAGGCGAAAAGAGCACCTCGTGTCGCCAGTGCGCTGCAAGGTGAAAGTCCTGTCCGGGGGCCAAATCCCGCTCGAGCCACCGATAAGGCGTCCGCTGGCTGCGTAGGGAAAAGCGTCCAACACGCCCCGAACCGCGGGGGCAGGAACTGCCCTTTTCCCAGGACACCCTGGCACAGCCCCAAAACCGCTGCCCCGGAGAAGGCGGGAGAGGAGCCGCCGCAGCCGGACCGTGGTGGCGGGACCCGCGGGGCAGAGCCCGCCGCTCTGCTCCCCAGGAAAAGGGGGGTGCGAGCCCCCCGGGGGCCCAGCCTGCAGGCCAGCAGCACGTATCTTTCGAGGACGCTCGGCAGGGTCGCCGCCCCCCGTACAGAGGGGGAACAGCTCCTCGGCTGGGAAGCCCCCACCGCGTCTCCTCAGCCGGGAGCGGCAACGTTTTCGCTTCTTGCTTCCCGAAGCAGCAAGGCCGGGACCACGAAAAGGCCTTGCAGAGGCTCTTTTGAGGACGCCCACCCCCCAACCCGCCCCCCGCCCTTTTACCTGCTGAAGCTGTTTGATGCTGCTGTTATTGCCCATCTTCTCCAGGTGGGCTTTGAAAGCCTGGATGCTGGCAGCACCGTCAGAGAAGCGCCGAACCGGGGAGAAGCGTTCGGTGGGGAGGTGCAGAGTGTTTGAGTCCTTGTAAATAGAACTGAACACAAGGGGAAGTGGGTTAGCGACGCCAGCTTCAAAACAAACTCTGGCACGCAGACGTTTAAGTCACACCAGCCATGCCAAGTTCCACCTGCCCACTCACCCGGAATAAACCATGTTTTAGATCAAGAAATAAAAGTGCCATCACCATCACCACCGTGAACGGGAATCGGGATTACCGGGTACCCTCAGTGCCTGTGCAGGTAAACGTGCTTTAAGGTTGGGGATGACTCAGCCTCCAACCAGCTTCCAGACAGCAGCAACACACCGTCCATCCGTACGGAGGCATCTAATCCCTCAGATGGAAAAGGTTTACGGAAGCCATTCAGCCTCCTAAAAAAAAAATCTACAATTCACCTCTTCGAGTGGCCACTTCTGGAGATTTCCAGCCCCCCGGGGCCCCTGACTACACCTGATGCCTGTGGAACACAGGAGGGGGCACTTGGAGAAAAAAGCCTGGCATGTTCTGCGGCCTCGGAGGAGGAAGGGGACTGGCATCCATGCCTAGAGATGCGCTGAACTGGAAAGAGGGCGGGATGGTAACTCCTCGCAGCCGGGGAAGTCTTTCTAAGGCACGAACCGAGCTGCTGCCCCGCGTGCAGAGCCTCCCCGTTGCCTGGACTGGGCACTGGGTGGCCAGAACGGGGGCGCGTGGGGGGCGAGCGTGCCCGAGGGAGGCCCCACCGCCGCCTTCCCTTCACTGTGAGGTTTCTTCTTCCTGAGCGTCAGAGGGAGCCAGATTTTTCCCCGTTCTCCCAGCCAAGCGCACCCGGCTCCTGCCCTGCCAGCGGGCACGGCCCGCGTTGTCACCAGCAAAGCTGACTTGCCGTACGCACACCGGTGAGGGGCAGGGGGTTTCTCTGCCTGCCCTAACGCTTTCCGTGCAAATGCAATCTGCAGAGCCCAGCAGCCAACGCTGCGCGGCACGGGCTCCCCCAGCAGCCCTTGCCTGCGAGAAGCTCCCGGGGCCGGGGGCTTTCCGGCACCTCTGCCCTGCTGGTACTGACAAACAGGTGCCCCTCGGGGCGCTCCCGGCCCGCCTTTGCTGCCGCGGCTGCTCCGAACGCGGCTCCTTTCCGAAGCCTGTTCCACAAAGGGCAACAATTCCTCCCGGGGAGGCTCCCCCTCGTCAGGAGGCGACAGACGCTGGACCCTCTCCGGCACGCTGGGTTCAGCTCCCGCCGCCTGCCCTGCCTCAGCAGGATGTACTTCCGTTGCTACAGGCGACACGCGATTTTTTCCAAGGACAGAGCTGCGCCCCTGCCTCCTGCTGCCATCCCAATGCACTGCCCTGGCCCACCTGAGCTCCTGTCGCACTGATGGAAAGCAGAAGCTACAGATGAAATTACGCTGAGGTTCCCAAACCCACGTGGCCGAGGCAGAACAATTGCACCGCCCTGCACAACTGCGGTACTTCCATTTTGCCTTCAGATACTAAGCTATCGTGCCCCAAACCGGGTGCTGCGTAGGAAGATGGCTTAAAATGTGCTAAGTGGTAAAATAAAACCCACCTGCCACTCAGTAGCTGGGGTCTGTTTATGGGCTAACGGTTTGCTGTGCCGTATGCGTCTGGGACACAACACGGGGCAGCCCGTTTAGGCCACGCTCACAGCGCGTTACCACACCGGGGGTGGAAGGAGCAGATCCCACCCGGGTCGCGATGCCACACAACAGCCTCGCGACTCCGAAGCCAAGAGCCGGAGGTGACAGCCACGTATTTACGGGGCAGGCGTGTTTTAACATTCTTGTCAAAAACCGATTCCTGCGGGGCGTGAGCGACCCAGCTTACCTTCGTGGTTTGAAGCAGTCCTTAAAGCAGGACCCAGCACATTCTGGTTGTTTTGCAAGCTGCACTCCTCCTCCTATCAAGCTGTGACCCTAGACATCTCTCCCCTCCTGCTCTTCCCATCCCCCAAGCACCTCTGTGAGGGAGTAACTTCGGGGCAGAGAGGTGCTTATCTCAGGTTTTCCGGAGTTCCAGCGTGGCACTAGCACTGCCTCAGTCTGCTCAGAGTTCACCTGCCTCTGCTGATTACATCAGTGCTCAGCTCAGCAGGTATCTGGCCACGATAAAAAGCGCTTTGGCGAGCTCGCCGGGGTGAGCTGGCTGGATGACTGGACAGGAGCCCCAGCCGCGCCGGGCAGGCGCCTGCCCTCGCAGCAGGCGAGCCCCGCGGGCTGCAGACTCCGCCGCCCGCGGCTGCTCCGCACGCCCCGCGCCGAGGCTGGGAGCACAGGCTTTACGCCCGCCCGCCCTGTGGCCTCAGCGCCCCCAGCCCGCCCGCTGCGCCAAGGGCCCCGGGTCACCCTACCAGCGCTCGCCAGCGGGAGCCAGCGCCCCACCCAGCCACTTCTGGCGGGCTGAGATCCAATCCGCATCCGCTCCCTCCCTCCCAGACACTGTGCCTTTCTTCCCTCCCCAGCTTCCCTGCGCCACAGCGTTCCCATCGGGGGTTCAGATCAGAGAGGGCACTCGAGGAGCTTTGCAAAGAGACCGTGCAGTCAGAACACGCAACTCTGGTGCGGAACAGTGAGGTTTTTTTAGGCTCTGGTGTAGATGACTTTGGCGTGCATCTGCCTCCAAAAACGTGCTGCAGAAAAGCTGCTATCTACTGCTAGCTCGACACCTACCGTCACAACAGAGAAAAGCTCCTCTCTAAACCGAGTGGCTGATTCCCAACCCTTCCGGTGCCGGCAGCCGTTCTCACAAATCACCTCCAGCCACAAGAACGGGGCTGGCGGGGAAGAGCCAGCTGATCCCTGCCCCTGCGGCGCCTGCACTCGCAGGCACGGAGCCCGTGCCAGCGCAGAACTCCGCTGTCCCCAGGGCGGTCGGACACCCTCTGCTCGGGGGCTCTGCTCTTCGTACTCGTTCCTCCTCCTCCTCCTCCTCCTCACCCCTCCCTGCCAAGCGGGATGTCCTCAGCGCTCCGTTCCAGGCGACATCGGAGCAGGTTTCCTGGCGCAAAGCTGCCCGAACGGCCGGTGCCATTACTCACCGGTGCTGATCGGGTACCAGGTGTGGAGCCCAAGCCCGGGGTCGGAAGGACTGCTGTCCTAGCTGCCTCTGCAAGTCTGGAGGGATTTCAGCTGTAGGGTTGGTCATTGCCAGAGTGTGCCTTTTTGACCTATTTGCCAAGTATCTGCAACAAGCAGGAGCACATTTTATAAGAGACTGATGGGGACTACTCCAAAAACAGGGAGCGTTAGATAATCCAGAGTAAACGGGAAGGAAGAACGCTTGCTGCAGTGCTCAGGACCAGCTGGGGAGAAGCAGGCCACGGGGCACGCTGCCCGTGCCCGCCACACCACCGGGTCTTCGGTGCTTAGGGGGGACAAGGGTGGTTTCAGCTGCCTGTGTGCTACTGCCAGCCTCAGAAGGAAAGAGTAGCCCTTTGCTCTCCCCAGCGGGAAAGCCGGGTTTTATCTCGAGGAGGGGAACGCCGGTATATCCCTTTGGGAATACCCAGGTGACTGCCTGCCCTCGAGGTGGATTCCCTCCGCTCCAGCAGGGCTGCCGCCCTCTGCCGAGGCCCCGCTGAGCCACGGGGAAGTCTGCTGCACGCACAGAGCCAAGAGACGAGTCACCGGTGATCCTGGCAAGAGCTGGGCAGCGAGCAGGCGCCGAGCGGAGCGGCTGCTCCCCTGCGGGGCAGCCTTTGCACTTCGGCCCCACCGTGCGACACCCTGGGCCCGGCCGGGAGCAGCGGCCAGCTTGTCAGAGCAGGGGAAGGGCATGCCGGGGCCACCCCACCCCGGATTACGGGGAGGGGGGGGGGGGAAGAGTAGGGCCTCCGGCTGTTTGAGGAGCATGAGGAAGAGCGCTGGGCCGGCGTCCAGGCCGGTCCGGCTGCGCCATCTAGTCCCTGCTCCATCTCTGGGGAGCTGGAAATGGCCCAGCGACACACAGGGCCAAACCAGCAAGGGCAACGGAGCAGGGAGAGGGTCCCCTCCTCTGGAGCCAGAGCCACCAGCGCTACGGCGGGGCTCGGCTCTTACACCGGGGCGGCAGCTGAAACTAAAGCACCCTCTGCACTGGAGGCGAGAGCCTGCCGCTCCTTTGCAAACCCTCCAAGACTGGGGCAGCGCGCGGTGCGGAGCGAGGAGCCTCTGCTTCGGCAAGGACGCGCTGCACAGCTCCGACAGCCGCTGCCCTGAACCTGCACTGCCAGGTACCGGCCGCAGCGCTGCTCAGAGCAGCGGCGGGCACAGCACCCCAAAAGATAACCAGCAGAGCTCCTAGCCGGGACGCCAGGGCTTGGGAGGAGCGTGGGGGCGAGCAGCCTGCCCACGGGCGGCCAGGCGGGACGAGCGCCCGCGTACGAACCCGGCTAGTTCTACTCTCGTCAACCGGCAGCAGCGAGGCAGCCGCGGCAACTGCGACAAAGAGCCCTGGGCCTGCGACAGCAGGGCTGCTGGTGGGGAGTGCTCACCCTCGCTCTCTTCCCCTCCTAAGGCGCCCTGCAACTTCAACCCGTGAAGCACAGAGGAGCAGCAAGCGGTGCGGCTGTTGCCCTCCCCAAGCCCAGCCTCTCCTCGCGAGCTACCGAAGCCACTTAAGCAGAAGACAGCAAGTTAACAGAATGAAGAGTGCTCAGCGCTGTGGTAACTTGCCAAAGTCTGTGCCATTAGCTGTTTAAGAATCGCTTGATGCAGATGGAGAAAGTTTCCCAAAGAGCTTTACAGTTGTGGCTCGCTAAGATCATTTTATTTCAGACCTCCGGGGAACAATCCAATCATGAGCTATAAGAGCGTCTCGGGTGGAAGACAGTTTCCCAAAGCTCAGAGGAGACGTGACTGCTCCCTGGAGCAAAGACTGCGCTCCGTTTTCAAGGTCAGCTTAAGAAGGACAAAAACTGCTCGCTGGTGGCTGCATACAGAGCGTTCGGAGAAGCTAAATATTTGCATCTGTCCCTGATGCTGATGCTATTTACCCTGCTCTGATGGCTACTGCCATGTTGCAACATAGCCGGGTGGAGAGCAAGTTAACACACAGCCTGGATGGGGCTTTTTCTTGGCCATCTGGTGGAAGAAGAACACGTGGCACGAAAGGACTAAGGGCAGCCCTGCCGAGAGCAGCGAGGAGACGCCCTTCAGCGGGATCCCAACCTTTCAGCAGCTTGCAACCTACAGAACGCTGCCTGGGGAGCTTCCAAAGGTTCCCAGCCCAGCTTATGCTTTAACTTCAGGGTTCAACTGAAAACCTTTGGGCTTAGCAGAGGAGAGGGGGAAATCTGCCCAGGTAAGACGCCCAGGCAAGCGCCTGGCAAGAATCAGAGGGCTCTCTATCTGACTCGCGCAGTCGGAAGGGCTGCCTACCACCTGAGGGGTTGTCAGTGGACAGTGCGGGCCCTAAATCACAGCTCCCCACGGGCAGGGTGCAGCAGCTGAGCCGGGGCTGAGCGCGGCCCCCCCTGCCTGGAGGTGCGCGCTCTTCCTCCGCTCAGCACTGCGGCCTGGCCTCTTTTCTTTCACACCCTGCTGCCTCGCCGCTGGGGCAGGGACACGAGCACGTCCCTGGCTCGGGGGGCGGACAGCAGCTCGTGAAGCCGGAGATCACTGGGAGAGCGAGCACAAAGATGAGGGTGGTGAAGAACTAGAGCGGAAGGCTACTCAGCAAACCTAAGGTGCGCTCTGTGTCAAGTCTAAGGCAGGGCTGGAAGCGAGTTCTTCCGGGTGTTCCCGCTCCGACTTTCCTCTAAGCTCAGAGAGGCAAAAGGAGCCTCAGCGCACACTCTGCACAATCTGTCACTGCACACACCCACCCTTCAAACCCCCCACCCCAGCGCTCCGGAGCACCGGGAGGAGCTGCCACAGGCTCGGGAGCACGACCTCCACCCACCCCGGCGTTTCTCTGCCTGCAACCAGCCCCCCAGTTTGACTGTCTCTCCTGAGCGCAGCCCCGGAGGAGGCGGTGGCCTGCACAGACTGGCGGGGAACCCAGAAAACTGTCAGAGTTCGGGGGGAGAAGAGGAGCCCTCCGTAACCACACCCACTACGCACAGTGCACCAGCCGGTCAGCAGAGAACAAACTAGGCAAAAGCTCCTAAGGCAATGTTAGCAAGGGCATGGTTAGTGTTTCCAGGGACTGAGAGAGTACAAGCGCATTCTACCCGCTTCCTACCATGTGTTTGGAGCAGACAAAAAGAACGGAAGTTTCCAGCCTGAGATCTAATCATCCCGTCCTTACTGGAGCGGACTATTTTAGGCCCTACTGCTCACACTAGAAGCTGGAGGTACCCGTATTTCCCGCAGGCTCGCTTTGTTTAAAAGGCATCAGAGTTGGATGTTTACTGCATGTCTTGATCCAAAAGCTGCACTGACACCCAAGGCCACAGATGAGATCCTCTGCCTCCATCGCGCAGCAGGGAGGGGTGAATCACTTCGCGCTCATTTTGCAGGTTAGTGTGGATGGCATGCTGGTGCACACTAAGCAAAGGAATTCAGCATTTCAGAGTTTCTGGCGGACCTACTGCCCCACTCGCTAACCGTTGCGGGGCGGGGGGGATCCAGCTTTGTAAGCACCCAGCAGTGTCAGAGGAGGAACCGCCCGCAGTAATCAACGCCCACGAGAACCAAAGAAGCGTCAAGCCTTCGCTGTCGTCAGCTTTGTTGCCTGCGATAAGGTTGCTCCTGTTCTATTTCGGCCGCGGCGAGCCTCGTGGAGGTAGTAAGGGCAAACGTGAACAGACTGGGAGTTACCTCTGCACGGCTTCCTGATCCGGCTCCCCGTCGGAGCTCTCCTCGTCCACAGGGGTGACAGCGGGGACAGCCTGCAGAGAGAAGAGACGCGGGCTCCTGAGAGCGGCCGGCGTGCTCCCCTCCGCGCAGCCGACGCCCGACCTTCCCAGGCAGGCTGCCACGGGGACGCAGGCCAGCTCCTCTGCAGCGCCGAGGACACGCGGCCCCGAGCCCCTCCCAACATCCCCTCCCCAGTCAGAACGGCCTGTGCGAGGCGGCTGCTGGGAAAACACATCGGTACCGACGCGCCAAGGAAGAAGAAATGCGCGTCGATGCCCGGGCTGGACGTTTTAGTTTCCTCTGTTAGATCGGCAAAAAGGAGAATAAAAGCAACCGTGAAAAAAAGTTCACAGGCGCTTTGCCGACTCCCGAGGGGAGCAGCCCCTCGGCTGCCGGGCTCCTCGCAAGCGGGCGCGCTGCGCCCTGGCGGCACTCCCCTCTGCCCGCGGGAGAGGGTACTGACAAGCACGCCACCGCGTCTCTCCTTTCCCTCTGCTACTCACTGGCGTCATGGTGACGAGCGGCGAAGGGCCTCGCGGACGCTTCAGCAGTTGCTGGGCGTGCAGCTGGATGTTCGCCCCGCCGTCGGAGGCGCGCCGCCCCAGAGGGCCCATGCCGTTCAGCAGCTGCAGGGTGGGGGGCTGCAGCAGGGACTGCTCCTGCGAAGCACAGACAGCACGCTCAGCAACCCCGCGGCGGATCCGGCCAGCGCCCGCGCCCCGGCACGAGAGCGGGCGAGCCTCCTGGGCTCCGGGGGAGGTGAAGGAGCGTCGCCGGCATCTCCGAGCTGACGCGGGGCAGAGGCAGGCGCTGCCGGTGGAGGAGCAGCGTTTCACTCCCCTCATCCCCGCCCTCTGCTTCAGTTGCCAGGAAGGCTGCAACTGCAGCTCCAAAGCCGGGCAGCGCAGCCCTAATCCCCCCCGCGCCAGCCCATTAGCTAATCTCATCCAGGGGTGTCCCTTCATCCTTCAGCTTTTTGAGGAACCGTCTAGAATCATACCTAAAGAGGCAGCAAGAGGGTAAATCTTGAGGCTCACGGCGTCCCAGGAACTGGCACCCAGAGCGAGCGAGCGTGAGCACACACACTCCCCCCCCCCCCCAACCCCCCCGCCGCCACTGGCGCGGCACAGCCTGCGCCAGGGAGCCCGTGCCAAGGGCAGTACCTTGTACTCCAGCTGACCCGTGGGCTGCAGGTTCTGCCTCGGCAGCACGCTGTGCATGAAGTTCACATTCGGGGTCACCTGCAGGAACGGCGCCTGAGGGGCGACACGGGGGAAGCCAGGCAGCAGCTTCTGCAGATCCTCCATGACCTCCGTCCTGCGCAACCACATTCACGGACGGGTGAATTAGCAACGACGTGAGGAGAGCCGCCCACCAGCCCAGTGCACTTGCCCTCCCCGTGCACAGACGCTTCTTACTGCTCGGGGAAGCGGTCAGAGAGAGTAGCCAAGCGACTCCTTGGGTTTTGTTTGTCCCGTCTTCCCCTCCAAGGTGCGATTTGCCAGAACTAGCTCTCTACGCTCACCTCGGATGCATTTATCACAAAACCTTCGCCTAGGACTCGACAGCAGCGCGCCTTAGGTGAGGAACTGGCTTGCACACCAGCGAGCGCTGCAGCTCGGACAGGGCTAATGGGGAAGGAGGAGGAAAGCATCTCATCCTCAGCTGAAGTCCCAACCAAGTTGTGCACTGGGGCCGGGACATTTTAAAAACCACTCCTGCTAAAGAGACGCCCTCGGTTTCTTTCTCCATCTAGCAAAAATCAAGCCTGCAGAAGCAAGCCCACGCCACTCGCAGCAGGAGACCAACGGTCTGGCGCCTGCTGTGCCGCAGATGCTCATCACCACCCGGTCTGGCTGCAGCGAGGCAGAGGCCGGGCACCGAGCGGCACGCTGTGCGTTTGCCAGCCCGGAAAACCATATACCACCGCCACTCCAACAGGCATCGAGTCCTGTGCACCTCCCCTCCGGGCATTAGCCCCTCATCTGCCGGCGTAGCACATGAATAGATCTGCGAGACCTCAGAAGGACCAGAGTCATGTGCTAGGAGTAAATCTCCAGGCTCCCTTAATCCTCTATCAGGGAGCGAAGAGTCCGACACTAACCGTGGGTCAGCTACTCCAACCGTGTGCCTTCGCATGGAGAGGTAGCGGACCAGAGCTTCGGGTGACGGCTCTTCCCCTTCGTCACTGTCCAAGTTCATCGTTCCGTCAGTCTGGGCAGGCAAAACAGCGGAGATGTGGAAATACCGTGTGAGGATCGAGCACGAGGCTTCAACGCGAGCGTGGGAAAAGAACCTGCAGGGGTCCTCAAGGGGTGTACCTCACCTCCACAATCTGGTTCTCAGGGTTGATGAGCTGGACTTGCGGCACGTTGATGCTCATGGTGTTGCCCGTCTGCTCTGTCTGCTGAGCAGAGAGATCGAAATGAGAAGACCCGAAGCTAGCCTCTCTTACAGGCCCCTTTACGCCACTGCTGGGGTAACACCAGGGCACAGACCCGGGGGCACCTGCGAACAGGGAGGTTACCCCGGAGCCAGTGGAGATCGGTTCGTTCTTAATTCTCAAGGGGCCGCCTCATTTCCCCTCCTCCCTTCTGCTCAGGCAGGGTCAGCACCTTTTCTGCCTCCCCTACAACCCGGCCTCTCTTAAAGCAAACACTCAGTTCTCGCACAGCTTCACAAACTGAGGAAGAAGCATCACGCAGCAGTCCTGCTCTGCAAACCCCAACTGCCAGCCCGCGACCCTCGCTCCCGTGGCCTTGTCCTCTGCCACTGAGCCGACAAGGCGTGGCCCGCAGGGCATCCGCGAAGCCACCGCACGAGCCGTTGCTAATCTCAGGATTACGGCACCCTCACGACACACAAAGTCCTCGGGCGAGGAGCATCCTGGCTCTCCTGCCGGGACGAGGACACCCACACGCAAGCCTGAGTTTAGCAGGTAAGGGGCGGGCTGGCCTTCCAGGGCTGGAAGAACACTGCGCCAGCGGGAGCTACCTGGATGTTCGCAGAGGTGGGGAACGTCACGGCCCGGGGTATACTGGGCGATGCTGCAATGCGCAGGTTCTTGTGCCTCTTCAGACGGTCGCAGAGCAGGCTGTAGATTGCACTGTAGTGATCGTAAGCATCGGCTCTTAAAGACTGGAAGAGGAAAAGGAAAGAGAGGTCGGTTTTGGCCAGGCAGCAAAACCCGCTGCGCCCTGTGCTGAGGCTGCTCAGCTGCCAGAGGCGACAAGCGTGGCCGTTGGCTCTCCAGCGGGAACGGGCGGGCCACGACAGCCGGCGGCGGAGTCTTACCTGAATTGTGCGCTCCTTGTCCAGCCCCATGTCGGCCATTGCCAGCAACACGTCCTCGTTCAGCGGCTCCATCTGCCTCTCGGTCTTCAGGTGCTGACACTCTGCGATCAGCTGCAAGAGCACAGACACAGACCTCAGTGCCGACGTTCCACACGGCTGAGTCACAGCCCTCCGAAGAACCGGCGCACCGGGCCCCGGCTGCAAGCTGGCACGAGCTCGGAAGGCACGCCAAGTCCAAATCCAGTGCCTCAGGCTCTCAACGCCAAGGGGAGAGGCACAAACAGAGATTTGGATGAGGAGTGATGTGGAAAGCCAGACCAGGAGTCACGGGAAGCGGGAAGGCAACCCACCGGGGACGAGCCTTCGCAAACGGCCAGAAGGGTGCTCGCGCACACACCGGCTCGCTTCTGCTCCTCACCCTGTCAAACTCCGCGTCGGCCTCCCCGAGCTTCATCCACTTGTGTTTGCAGATCTGCTCCATGGAGAGCCGCTTGCTTGGGTCCAGGACCAGCATGTGGCGGATCAGGTGTTCACATTCTGCGAGGGAAGAGAGGGGCTGAGCAACCCGCGGGGGGGGGGACCCGGCTTCCGCGGGAGCCGGCCTCGCCCAGCAAGGGTGAAAGCGATTTTTTTTTCCCTTGCAGCGCAAGGCGCTTCTCCGCAGGAAGCCGCACACAGCCACAATATTGCCCCTCCTTCTGCGCTTCGCACTCGCACAGTCCCCGGCGTGCCACCTGGCTGCAGGACTTTGCTTCCCCCGTGCTGGGAAGGAAGGGAAGGATGGGAGGCAGGCAGGCACCGGGCCGCCGGCCCCTGTGCTGTTTGCCGGAGCCCCTAGGTGGCACGCTGGCACGCTGTCCCTCGCCGGCACCGGCCAGGCCAGGGCACACGACCGGCACTGCGGCGGTGTGGAAGGGCAGAAGCATCCCCCGCACGCTCCCCGCTCGGCAGGAGCTCACTGCGTGGGGCTGCTCCATCATGGGGCGCGTGTGCGGTCGCCGGGGGGCACTGCCGAGGCTCTCCCCCAGCTCGGGGCCGGACCCGAGCTGCCTTCGCAGGTTTTATCCAGCGTTTTCTGCAGAAGCAGAACCCCTGCCCCCGGTAAGGTGGCAGGCAAGGAAGCTCTCGGCAGGGAAACTCCACGCAGCCCATGCAAAATTGTTGCTCAGGCTGAGAGCAGGCAACCGAGAACCTACATGTGACTCGTTCTCAAGTGAAGTTGGTTTTCTCTGAAAATTAATGACGCTTGTCAAACCCAAGATTTACTACTAAAGCTTTCGGAAGCCTTTTTGCAGAAGGAGGACACAGACGTTCGTCTCTGACGAGGCTACTGCTGGAAATTCGTGCGCCACGATGCCGTAAAAAGCTTCCTGCCTAAAACAGGTATAGTGAAAGCCTCTACATTCCTAAGTCACTACTCCATTTTTAGCTTTCACATTTCCCAGAATTTAGGAAGAGTGTATCTTTGCTAACGTTTTGCTGTAGTTTCCGTAGCTATATACACGAGAGCTGAGGTTTGACGGAAGAGTATTTCGGTTTCTAAATTCTAGACTCAGAACTCATTTTAGCTTACGCTACCAACCACCATCCAGCGGATAAGCTTCCTGGCACACCACTTCACTGGCACATAAATCAACGGGGATACTATGATTTAAGTGCTCCCAAGCATCTGCAAACAGAGACGCGGCCAGCGCCTGCTCAGGGCTGCCGGCGCCGCGGTGCGCGCGCCCCGTACCTGTGGACATGAAAAATGGAATGCGAAATTTCCCACTGAGCACCCTCGCCCGCAGGTTCTGCAGCGTGCTCCCGTCGAAGGGCAGAGCGCCGCAGACCAGCACGTAGAGCACCACGCCGAGACTCTGCGTCCAAAACAAAGGTCACGTCAGCAGCGATCGCGGGAGAGACCGGGAGACTGCAGCTAACTGCAGCCAACGGGGTTTAAAGAGAATAAAGTGATAACAAAGGGGAAAACGCTAATCTCCTCGGGACGGGCCTCGCTGATATCTCAGTCCCGGGCCAGCTTAACTCCTCCGGCAAACTTCCAGCCCGGTTCAGGCTGTCTCTGGAGCCTCGGGAGCCGGAGCGCGGGCCGGCGAGCACCGCCGGGCCAAGCAGGATTTGTGCTGCACGGCTCGTGCCACGGAGGAGCCCGTCCCGAGCCTGCGCCAACGTGCTCCCTGCACAAACCTTCTAGAGCAAACCCTTCCAGCTCTGCCAGGCCAAGCCCTACCGCAGTAAATTCCCTGCCACCCAGGAGCGGCAAAGTGAACCCTATTTGGGGGAGCTTAATTAAAACGCGTTTCTGGGCAACTAGCAATTTTGGCACCATGCCTCCCAGTAAGGGAAACGTGACATAGCGGCCAGAATAAGAGGTTACATGCATTTCTTAAAAAAAAAAAACCCAAACCAAACCAAAACATTTTTTGCCGTATCAGGGGCTTTTCTCCAGGACGTGCGCTAAGTATTCGGGAAGCAAAGCCAACCAGAGCAACAAAATTAGATGAGTGTAAGAGAGAAAGTGGTTCATCGCCTACCCAAATGTCAACCTTTGGCCCATCGTACTCCTTTCCTTCGAAGAGCTCGGGAGCAGCGTAGGGGGGACTCCCACACCAGGTTTTAAGCAGCTGACCAGGTGTGAAGATGTTGCTGAACCCAAAATCTGAAAGGATAAAAGAGAAGCGATTAGAGGAATACGATCCACTCCAGCTGTCCTAAGGAAATGGCATTCGAGTCAGTCGCCGAGCCTCGCAGCGTCACGTACAGCCCCGTAACGGACAACTGCTGCGCAGACACCAGGGAATGAGGAGTGCCAAAGGGGCGAGACGAGCAGCGCTGAAGGCACCTGGCCAGCGCGCGGCACGGCCTGCCTCGCGTACGGTAACCACGCTGCTCCTGCCCAGCGGAACACAGAGATCAGTCCCAAAGTTTGGAAACTCTTCACGCACGTGATTTCCAGCAAGTGGATCGACTTGAGCTGCTGGAAGGTTTGGAAGGAGGCTTCTACCTCGTATTCAAGAAATCCCACGTAAATCCTGTGCGTTTGTTTCCAACCTTCAGCTTCTCCAGCGTCAAGTTTCACAACTTCATCAGGGCCAGGGCAGCCACCCGCAAGGGCAGAACGGGGACAAAGGGAAAAACAGCGGGAAATTTTGATTTTCCACAAAGCACGACATGAACTGCAAACTTCAGTTATGGCGGGCAGCTCTACAAACCAAGTCAAATCGCTCACCAACAGCAAATAATAAATCCTGGAAGAGAACTTAAAAGAAAGGGCTTAACCTTACAGGCAGTCAACCATCAGCTGACGTGGGCACCGATGGCATTCCCTGCTAATTAACCTGCCACCCCCTGGCACCCAGCTGGGACTTGCACTGGGAAGTGTAAAGGAGCCAAAGTCCGGATTCAAGAGAACCGAGCTCTTCCTTATAAAAAGAAAATCTTCACTAACGATTTCTTTCTCTTTCGCCTCAATTGAATCACAGCAAATAGAGGGTCACAGAGAGGCGTCCCCACGTCCCGAGAAGGCGGTGTCCTTAGAAGGAAGCTCTACCAGAAGGAGCGGTGCCACAGGGGTTATCTGCGAACTGCTGCGCCGGTGCTTCTGCCAGAACCGCGCCGGCAGGAGGGTGAGTGACATTAATGCGCGCGGACGGGGACCCACAGCAACAAGGGTGTTTTTCATGGCATTTGCAACCAGCAGCGGCAGAGCCTCACGGCAGGCTTGTGTGAGAAATGCCGGCAAGAAACCCAAGGAGGGCCAGAAATACTCAGTTTGCAATTTCTAACTGATTAAACCCAAGAGCATCGTGGCAAAAACGCTCAGTACGGCTGCCGAAAGTGACAATCTCTCAGGAAGAGCTTAAGGCTCACTTTGACTCCGTCACCGGTCAGAACTGCGCCGTATCTGGGATAATGCACAGCTGACTGCCCACCTGCCGGCGAAGCACAAGATCCCAATGCTGCGCAAAGGAGAAGTCACTGAAAACGCCTATCTTAATACAGGTACACAAATGCTAAAGGATATCCGAGATGCAAAAGCGGCAGACTTTTTTCTCCCCATTTCTTGAGGTAAATACACACTAATCCCGAAGACCCATCTCCATTTTTATCTGCTTGCGGTCTTTCATCCATGCTTTAAAAGGTAAGGACTTTGGCACGCACTCTTTAGCCGACAAGAAAAGTCTGTTTTCCTAAACCATACAAAACGACAGGTTTATCCTAACCCATTCAGTATTACCCTGCCACAAGGAAAACGGTTGTCGTCCTCCAGACAAAAGCCCCTTTAGAGCAGCGCCCAGGGGGTCACCCCAAGCTCCCCGAGCGGGCCAGCAGCGAGGCCAGCGCTGGCCAACACCCCACGGGAGGCCCAGAAAACCCCACGGGCACCCTGCGACAACGCGCTAACTGGGGGGGGGGGGGGGGGGGCGTGGGGTGTCCGTGCTCCCGCGTGCGGTCGCCGCTTTCCTTAGAGGATTTTCCATGACCTCATTTCAGGTGCCTCTGCTCTCCTCCTCCAAAGAGCTTCTGGAAAACTCAGCCGACCGCCAGCGCAGCTCGGCACAGCTCCTGCTAGCTCAGCTCCGGGAGGGTGCAGCCACCCTCCCTCCTCCTCGCGGGGCCAAAACCCTCGGCGCAGAGGTGGTTTACGCTCGTGAAGGCGACCCAGAGCGGCGTGATCCTGTGGAAGCACCTGGAGTACAGGCAGCGCTGCTCAGAGCAGAGCACGGAGACGGCAAGCGATCTGTAAAAGCATCACAGTATCAAAATGAGGCACTTAAACACCCTTTGGGTTTTTACTGTCGGAAACAAAGTCATCTAAACTTCCAGAGCAAGAGCAGCCAGCCTTTGGAGGACTATTTCAGGGAAACAGTACACAGCTGCACAATTGTCTTTTCCACCTCTGCAAGCTTATGGGCTGCCCTGCCTCACATTTGAAGTCGGATGTGTAACGGGTGCCTGAATTATGGCCACCGGCGCCAGCAATAAGGACGACGGCACTAAATGTGCCCCCATCTCCTCACAACAAAGCATTTGTACCGGGGTTGAGACGTAAACTCTTTCTAACCGTGCAAAAACACGCTGGGATTTCGGGACCTCACGTATTTTGACTGAATTATTCTGCTATAGTTGTTGATCCTCGTACATATCAGAGTGGGCTTTGCAGCACTTGGGGAACCGAGCGTATTTTCGCAGCGGCGAGCATTGCCCTGTGCAGCCCGGCCCCCCGGCCCCAGCTCGGCCCAGGAGAGAGGCACGGCAAGCAAGCCGCGTCGCGTCGCGCGCGAGGGCAGAGCTGGGCCGCGCCGGCTGCCGCCGACACCCCACAGCCGCCCCCCCTCTGCTTCCCACCAGCCACAGGGGCCCGCCCGGCTCGGGAGCCTCACCCCGCTTTCACCCGGGGCTGGAATTAGCCCGCGGGACCCCAGCTCGCTCCGGCGGGCGGTGGGCTGCCCCGCCGAGTCCCCGCTCGAAGGGCCGGGATGCCGCAAGCAGGTCCCAGAGCTCCTGCCGTGTGTCCCCCCCCCGCCCCGCCGGCTGCCCCGCATTCGGGCAGGAGAAGCCTCTCCCCGGGGAGAGCCGCGGCTCCCGCCGGCACCGTCCGGGCTCCGGGTGAGGCACGCTGCTCGTCTCCGCCGGCGCTGGAGCCAGCCGGCCCCGCCGAACACGCGGCGCCGCTCCGAGGCTGCGTGAACCCAGGTCAAGGCTGGTGGGAAGAGCGGGGTTCTTAGAGGGCCCCAGGAGTTAAGGGGCAGAACTGGAAAAGCCCGAAGCAACAAAGTAAAATCTAAACCAAACAAGAACCGAAGTACAGCTTAAATAAACTTTCAAAAGTATGACAAGTCACCCCAGTCCGAGGAGTTGTATAAATCCAGATCCCCGGGGAGCAACTAAGCCTCATTCCACAACCAAATGCAGAGGGAAAAGGGCGTTTTGAAAGAGCAAGGTAAAAGTCACGATGATGTGAGACGTGGGGGGAACATTTAACAGAAACATCTCCGGGCTACAAAAAAGCGGGCCCAGTCCCTCACGGTTCCTCGGGGCACAGCTTCAGGGAGCTGGCGTCAGTGTCTGCACAACAGGGACTTTTATCCTCGGAAGGTGAAAGAGGGAGCGGGCTCTTGCAAACGAATGCAAAGCGATGCATAGATCACATTCCTCTCTGAAACCATACCCCAGGAAGGCCTGGGTATTTAGCAATAATCTCAACTCCTGGCTGAACTCTCTGACTGGGAGCACAAGGGAACACAGTGCCAGAAGCTACTGACTCAGACTTTGAGAAGGTACACGGGAGAAAAAGCATCCATGGGAAAAATGAGAACGAGGGTAACTGTTTGTATCTTACTGTTTACGGAAAAATGGTATAGTTGCCATCAATCAAAGAAAAAAAAAAAAAAAAAAAAAAAAACAACAAAACCACAACAACCCCAACCAAACCCCAAAAGTACACTTGTAGTCACCACCGGGTGAACAGCAGCGTTCACCCGCTTCCAGGCTGCCACGCCACCTCGCCGAGCGTCTGGTACGTAACTAATGCCGAGCGAGGGACGCGGGGCTGCAAAGGGAGCTCGGTCGTAACGCGCTGGAGAGTCTGCACCTGCCAGAGTCCGGAAAAACCCCCCGACGCTGGCGGAATGACGCACGCCGCCGAGGGCCGCACGGGCGGGGCTCCGCAGAGCGAGCCTCAGCTCTGGCTGGTCGAGATGACACGCTGGCTCACCGCGTCCTTCAGGCTGTCCCTGTCGCCGCTACCCGGCAGGCAGAGAGTGAGCAGGCCGACCAGGCAGAGCCTTCGAAGACACTCCGGATTTATCTGCAGCCTCCAGCAGCTGACCGTTCGTGCACTACCGAAGAGGCTGGCGTTAGACGCGGTTAAGGGGTTTGGCGGTGAAGGCTCAGCCGATCCTCCCCCCCGTGGAAGGGGGCTTTGTGCGTTTCTGGAGTGTTTATCCTGGGAGGTCTGGTGTGAAAGAGATCAGTTGCTATCGCTTCTTTTTTTGCTCTTGGAACAATGGAAGAGCTGGTGTCAAGCTGTAATTGATGAGTTATAGGGATAAAAATTAATACTTGGAAAACCCTATACCATAAATCAGCTTTTCCAGGCTACTTTTCAAATCGCTACTCCATCTTCCTGCCAAGCAAAACACTACCACCACCAGGGTGGGAACTATCTTCTAGAGTCCATTCTGGGAGCAGAGATTTGGAAGAAAAAAACAGTTTCCGACTCCCTCAGATTAAAAAAAAAGTTTCCACAGTTCTCAGACATTCAGAGAGCTTCTCAGCACGCTCACGTGGACATTTCTTTAGGGGATCCAGCTGTACATCCCGGTCTCTACCTGAGTTAGGTTTTAGCTTCCTCCTTGGTTTGCTGGACACCCCCCCGCCCCGCCAACAGACACGGGGAAGGTTTTGCAGCTTACACACGCCTCCCCAGGAGCCGCTCGCGGGAGCTGCCCCCCTGCCCAAGCAGCCCCCCTGCCCAAGCAGCCCCCCTGCCCCGCGCTGCCAGGGCGCTGCGCTCCGTGCCCGCGCCCAGCGCCCAGGGAACGCCGCGAGCCCCTGGCGCCCCGTCAGCGCCCATTCCCTTGCTCAGCTTCTGCTCCCGGAACGGCGGCGAGCGGGTTGTCGTCCTCCTGCCAAGGAGCACGTGGCTCATACTATTAAGCGTCCAAATGCAGTCCTCCACGCTCCCTTCTACTCCTTCCCCATTCCCTCCCCACAAAGCGCGGAGGAGGAAAACCCAAGGAATTACCCATCATTTTACTACAAATCAAAGGTTCAACTCTAATCTAACACCTGCGGAGGGTACCTAAGAGAACAGTAACACGACGAACAGGACTGTTTTCTTTCTCCAAGATGGTATCAAGCTAGAAGAGTATTCCCCAACTCCCAGTATTAAAATTGCTCAGACTGCAAAGTTTTGTAGCCCTAAGCACTTGTTTCTGTTGGGTTTGTTTTTGTTTGTTTGTTTGTTTGTTTTTTTAAACCAAGTTAAAAAACCCCTGTAAAAGCCAATCAAGCTCCCCAGGGAACAATATGAAGAGAGGCGACAACAAAGTGCTTTCCAAAAATGCTCTGCTGTGCGTTAGGCTCCAGAAGAATTGAAAGGTAAGGATGAGCTCTTCCACTTCAAAAGCCCATGAAATGAGACGACCGGGGCACTGTTAAGCCCTCTTGTTTCGGTCGGTTGCTATATAATCCCACAGAGGTGCATAAAGCCGGGTCTGGGCAGCGCATCACAGAGCTCAGCAGCCAAGGCTCGATCTCAGGTACCAGAGGATCGCAGACGGGCAGGCCTGTGTCAGGTCAGCCTAGAACCTGCGCAAGGTGCCAGCTGCCTGGAAGGGCCCTGGCGACCAAAACCGCCCCACGGCCCACCCAAACACTGGGAGCAGCCTGTCAGGGCCTGACTCAGTACCTTCAGCCTCTCTCCCTGCAAGGAGTAACATCCCCAAAGCACTGGGGCTATTCTCCTGCTCTGACAGGCGGCACAGCGAAGTGATTCCCAGCGCGCCACTTCCCCCTTCAGTGCTCTACCATAAACGCCCTCATCCCTATTTTTCCATTCTTTCCCCCTCACCTAGTCTGACCTGCCTCCAAGAAGTCCTAAACCAGCAACGGGACTCAAAACAGGGTCAATTTTTCAGTATTAGTGTTGCCCATTATCCAGTGTACTGCAACACCGCAGTACCTATAGCTGCCGATCTGCCTGGGAAGCCCAAACGGCTGCTTTTTCCTCCTTCTTTTATTTTGCGCGACTTGAAGGGAGCCGTAAATCTCCTGGCTACAACCTGGCAGTTTCAGCTCTGGGCAGCAGGCCACACAGAAATCCAAAGCTTCCTTTAGCTGCACTGCGTTTCCTTCTTTCTGAATACCTGGAAGCAGCCAGTGCCTGCGTTTACTGACTTCTGAAAGCAGCTGCCTTCCTCCCACGCTGCTGGTCTTAGCTCACCTGCTATTTTGATGTTAAGGTTAGCATCCAGAAGTAGATTTTCTGCCTTCAGATCTCTGTGGACTATATTACGACAGTGGCAGAAGTTGACAGCAGCCACGATTTGCTTGAACTTTCTCCGGGCTTCCTTCTCCGCCATACGCCCATGGGCCACCAAGTGATCTGTAGGGGACGAAGCGAAGAGCAAAGTGGTTACTCACAGGGGGGAGAGCGACCCAGACAGGGGCTTCTCGCACGGCAGCGGCGAGCGGGGCCGAGGGTGGAGACGGGAGCGACGCGGGCGCCCGTGTGCTCCCCGCGTTCCGAGCCGGATGGGGTCACCGGCCCAGCGCCGGCACACCAGCCCTCACCGGGCCGTCCCCAGGTGAAAGGCTCTGAGCTCGCAAACCTTCCTCTATGCAGAGGAGAGCCGACGGGGCTGGCGGGAAGAATCAGACCTGTTTTGTGAAAAGCGTAAAGTTTGGAAACTCTTTCTCTACGACAAAATAGAAATAAAACCTTGTCAACGTTTCCCTTCAGTCAAATACCAAGCCTCATACCACATTACCTCGGCAGTGAGAGGTGCAGGCTCGTGGCCACCTGCCATCCCCCCGCCTTCCCTCCGGTTTTTGACAGGCAAAGTCTCCCTAAGGTCACCGAGGCAGCAACCCAACCAACCAGCCCACCCAAACCAACCCACTCGCAACCTGAAAGCATCAGACTCACAGAAGACACTCATCTGTCCTGCAAACGGGGATGGACCGACGACAGGAGTCAGGCAGCAGAAATGGCAGAGAAAGGAGCAAAAGCCTCCCCCCGCCTCCCCTGAAGCGTCCAGCAGAACTGGCAACAAAGCTCTGCCAGGAAAAGCGTGAAAGTCGCAGCAAGCTGCCGTTCCTAGCCTCGCCTGGGATCTCTCCAGCCTAGATGCCAACCTAGCTAAACCCGATGTAGCGTGGCAAGAGGCACAGGTAGGAACAGCGGTTTGCAAGATTACGGAGTTGAGGAGAGCGCTACAGAAACCCGAGAAGGGTCCTGGAGAGCCCCCCGCAACCACACGCGGGACCGGGAGGGTTCCCGAGTTCCCCCAGCTCGTGGGAAGAGCTTCGGAGAGGCTCGCGCGAGCCCTCTCCCCGGCAGCGTGGGCCCCGGAGCGGGTCAGCAGAGGCACTAGCAAGCCAAAGCCCGGGGGCTTATCTCCTCGCCCGCTTGAAGAGGCCGTTACCTCTCAGCTGGGCCACCGAGCCGGCCTCAGAAGACTTCTGGAAAAATAGGCTGAAGTGGTTCATTTCCCTCCACAAACTCTGTTAAGCTGGAGGGCTCGATAGAGATATCTGTTCTTCAAAATAATAAAAATAAATTACTTCTGAACGTTTCTCATCAGGTGGTTGCATTTTTCCCAGTCACCCATTAATTAAAATACCTGCGACATAATTGACTTGCAGTAAATACTAATTACCAAGATCCATCAAAGCAGTTCTGCTGGCTTCTGACTGCACAGCAACCTACTTCTCTACATTTGACTACTCATGTTGTGCAACACAGCGAAGTTGTTTTTCAAATAACTTGTCAATTAAGTTTTATTCATCGGATAAGCTTATTCCACGAGCAGATCTGAACCAGGGCTGGGGGAGGAACTGCATCACCGACTCCAGCGTGACCCTCAAGTCACTCGCTCGGAAAAGCAAAATTTACTGCCTCAGATAGCCCCGTCATATTTCATTAAGTCATTTGCACGGCCATAAATTTTTTACTCTGAAGAGCTGGGAGACTGACAAGCAGAGTTAAGCAAGGACCTGCTCCAGCTTAAGCATTACCACCGACCAGCAGGTAGTAGCTCAGCTCCTAAACGAGTCAAGGCCATCCCCATCTCTCACTCTGCTCGAATTTGGGAGCGCAGCCCGCCAACGCAGCAAGCGCTCTTAAAACAAAGCGCAAGGCTTCAATCTCAACGGTTTTGAAAATATTCTCCCTCGGGCAAGAAGTCAAATCCAGCTCCTGCAGCAGGCGTCTTTCTCCAGGCTCTCCCCTAAGCGTATTTTTGCCCCGAGCAGGTTCACGTGTCCCCGCGCACGGACGGTGACACGCGCGCTCAGGCCTGCGCGCTTCAGAGCTTGCTCCCGGCAGCTGCCGCGCCAGGCCTCCGCTCACACAGCCAACTCCTGCTGCCCCTTTTATCCGTCAGTCCTGCCTAGGCTGTGAAAAAAACCTCTTCAGGTCAGGCGTGAAATTTCGCTTGTCGTGAAGAGCTGCGAGGGGAGACCGGTCCCCGAGCTCTGCACGTAGGCACAGCGCTCGGCGACCGCTGACATTTCTGCACAAGCTCCAGAGGAAGGACAGAAACAATGAAGCTACAGAATACTTCACATACCACCAAGGGCAACTGTATGCCAAAATTAACCAGTGCGAGCTTAGTCTGCATAAACCTCTCATGCAAGGGGGGGGTTACAGAGATGACCTGAACGCTCAGCCGGGAGCCAGCACGCACAGACTCGCCGCCGGGTCGTACGCACGGCGCTGCTCCTCAGCGTCCTCCGGGGAGGAAGGAACGCGTCATTTCATTCCACAGCAGCCCTGAAAAACATGGGTCGCTGTTCTCTGTACTGACACAGAGCTGCTGATGCTGCTCCCTGCGTTAAAAAGCCGGTAAAATCCTACGCTGAAGAAAAAGCACCTGCAGGTTCAGAGACAGGACTGACACCCAGGCTCCCACTTTTCGCCCCTGGGCAGACGCCTTGTGCTGTTGAGGTGCTTTCTGTCCGGAAAGCAAACGCTGCTCAAGCTTCCCTTCTCCTCTGCGTGGTGGATTAAGCCACGTTTCCAGCGCGTCGGGCGACCTTGCGGTCTCAGAAGCAGCCTGACCTTCTAGAGGCTGGCACCACGTCGGTTCACTTCGTCTGTCCAGTTCGTGCTGGGCAAGCTCAGGACGAGCAGGCGGCGGATGGGGAGGCAGGGCAGAGACAGCAGCCGTGCTAACCACGTTAACCAGAGGGTAATCTTGTCGAGTTTCCTGAGAGTTTTTGTGAATCAACCAAGCACCCATGTTCTGGCCCACGAGGACTGCAGCTTATTTACAGTATTCATAGCAAACAGCCGAAATCAAAACAGACCTCCAGACTGTATTCTGTCTGACCTCAAAAGAAGGACGCTAGAGGGACCTGGAACAAAGAGCACCCTATCTTTAAAAGGAGACATTCATTTGTTCCTAATGTCCAACCAGCAACCCAACCGCCCGCGAAACATGCACAGGGCCTAAAAAAAAAAAAATAACCATTTACACGTTGCTGCTTAAGCCCACAGCAAAAGCAAGTCTTCTCCCTGATCCCCATGCACCGCTATGCGAAACAAAGTCAATGATCAGAAAGTTTCCAGTAACGGATGAAGCAAAGACACTTACAGCACAGTTTGGCCACCGACGGAGCTATCGTCCCTTTTACTGGAAATTCAGACGAACAGGTTGTGAAGTGCTCCCAGGTGCTAACGCAGGAAAGCCTGCGGGGCTCAGACTGACAAGGGCCAAGACGGACCGGCGTCCAACGCCGCCTGACTGCCTTAAACCGTGCCCAGTTAGAGAAACTACCATTCCTGCAGCTAAAAATTCCTACCTGCATTACTGCCTACGTAACATTTACAGTTGCATGGTACAGTTCCGGCCTTTGAAAGTCTTTTTAAAGCGTTAAGGGAAACAACTTCGATTTGCTTCTAAAAACCGTGCAGCTCACAACACTGTAACTCGGGTTATACGAGGCGCCGGGGCTTACAGGGAGCGCTTAGCGCCCAGGAAACCACGGCTGCCAGCCCCTCGCCCCTTCTGCAGCTCAGCACTACACCTTAAACCCGAGGCCACGCAGATGGGAGGAGATGAAAGCCTGAGCACAGGCACGTCTGATGCAGAGGCCTCCCCGGTGCCAGACGCGGTGACGGTGACTGCCCCGTCCGCACGCACCTCCCGCCGTTTCCAACAAGCCGGCCCCCGGCGGGACGGGCACCGACCTGAAGCAGCACGCAGGCAACGTCTTCCCCCCAGCAGAGCCCTGGGTAAGCCCCAGCTTCCTCCTGGGAAGAGCCGGAGCGGGTGCGAAGCCAGCCCACGCTGCGGCAGACTTTCTCTCCACACCGCGGGGACGTGAGATTCGTCAGTGCTGGAGATGCTAACGGCGGCAGGGAAACCTTCCCAAAACGGGTCGCCGTCCCCTCCCTGTAAATTGCTTCCGCTGTTAGAACAAAGTCGTAACGGCTCCTCAGGAAACTCCGATTACAAAAAGCTGAGACTTTAGTTTCCCCCTCCCTGCTCTAACAGCGAGGGCGCGGCGGGGCCTCGTGCGGTGCCTGACGATGCTCGAAACCGGCTAGCGGGGGCACAACCTCCCGGCTGCGGTCTGGAGAAGCGTCACAGCTATGACATAACTGGCTGCTCCCCGCTGCCAACGAGGGGAAACTGCCGGGCAACAGAATGGAAATTAGCCATGCTAATGAGCTGAGTTTACTACAGCATGAAGTATTTCAGAGAGCAGTTAGATTTTCACTTCGACTCATGTGGAAGGCTATTTTTGTCAGCAAGGGAATTCATTCCAAGTTTGTATACGAGCTTGCGCATAGTTCTGGATTTAAAAAAGATGAGCCCCTCTCTGCCAAATTCAACAGAAGAGGGACACGAACTAAAAAGCGGTTTATACTCTTCTGCGGTGATCCACGCACGAGCAAACTCCAGCGCACGCTCAGGTGATTCTCCTGCAGTTACGGCTTGCTGCACAAGGGAAGATGAATTTCACACGCCTCCACAACTGCTGGGGGTCTAGCACCGTGACCCACGTTCGAGGAAACAACCCGAGGACTGGGGTGGAGGAAGCCAGCTCTTTCACCAGGCGATTCCCACTTTCCAAACACCAGCTGCTACCTGCTTCTTCCTTCGGCCGTCACCTTCTCGGAGAAGAAATCCGAAGGACACGGACGATGTTGAGAAGGCGGCGTGACCACCACCTACAAAGGTACTGAGGAACTGGGATTAGATTACGGTGACTGGAAAACAGCATTTTTCACTTCAGGTTGTCTTATCTTCCTTAACTTGGGGCTTTTCTTCTTTCCCTGGGAGCTTCATCTTTTGTTACAACTGGCAGAGGGAGGTGCTCTGACATCCAAAAGTGCATCTACTGCAGTGACCGAAGAGGACAAAACGGAGACTGCTGCCACTTAGCCGAGAGGCCGTATGTGACTGTGCTCACAAGGACACTGCCTGCAAGCAGGTTTAAGCCAGGTCGCCTCAAGCACAAAGGATTTCCCCCTTTCTCCGAGGCTCACGTTGGCTAAGCTAGTAAAGACCAATCTTGCAACATTCTGACTCCGTCACCTGGCGCAAAATTGTAGGGTGTCAGTAAATCTCTATTTCTACAAGTCTCTCATCGGTCATGGCAATAAAACAAACAAAAAAAAATCAGTCAACGGTTCTTGCAACTGTGCTGCAGAGATACTTTTTTTTCCTTTAAAGAATAGCTTCTGTGGTCAGGAATGCTCAGCCAAAACATTGTTAGCAGACAGTGGAGTTTAAAATGGATGTAACTAACTAATGCAGGCTAAGATAACATCGGATGCCAAAATGATAAGACGACACACGGTTTCAAGAACAAAATACTACAGTACCACAGGACTGACTGTTTCTTTGAAAGCTACTAACAAACACCAACATTTCCACTATTGTCAACAAGTTTCACAGAACCAGCTGGGAAGCAAAGCATTCAGCCACACTTTAAAGTCCGACCGGATGACTATTTCCAACATCCTTAACCCCAAAGTCAGCATAAAAGCGGAGCAAGCACCACCTGTCAATGAAACCCAAAGAAGAAGCAGAGGTTATGGAAGTTATTTTTCCATCGAGCTGGTATCATCTATTTTGTTACTCCCCTTGTCAATGGAAAGTTTTCAGGCTGAAGGGCATCTCTCAACTGAAACAAGAGAGCGTGGCAGCTATTTTCAGTTTACTGTAGTTGACCGAGTGCATTATCTGATTAAAGAATGCAATAAATGTACTTACCAAATATTTCCCCTCCACTAGCATACTCTGTCACGAGATAAATCATCCTCTCCGTCTCCATAACCTGGACGCAAGGACAGAAAAGTGACATGTAAGGAGACTGCCGTGTGCAAAAAGAAACAGAACAAAAAAAGATTTATTCCTTCTGTAACATGTGTAACTGCTTTCATCAAATCAAAAATATCACCTTCCCCTGCTTCATCGAGCTGTGCAAAGGAACGGACAGGAACTGGGGAAAGACAAACAGCAAGTTTTAAACGCTCAGTCTGTAACTAAACACAGCCCTTCGCCCGCACCTTCCTCCTCTCCCATCTCCCCTCCCTTGGGCGTTTGCTCCCTGGGGTCTCGTCCTGCCCCAGCAGCCTGGGAGACTTCTCAGGGCTGCTACAGCCAAACTAGTTCACCTTTCTCGTTAGTCACTCCGCTGCAGGCGCTAAAATAACCACCACGATTTTGCCAAAGGGGAGGATATTCACCGAATCGGTGACTTCCCGATGAGTCAAGGCCTATTAGAAATAACCCGGAGCTCGGGCTTTGCTGCAGGGAGCCTGCGCGGTTCAGCCAGGTAACACCACATTTCTACCAGTTTTTCACACGCATTTTTGCGAGTCTGTTCTGAGGCTGCAGCAGGCCAAGGCGCTGAGGCCGGCCGCTGATCAGATGGGATTCCTTCAGAGGGCCAGGCAGGGTGCAGACCAGGGCAGCGCCAGGCTCGGCACAGCAGCCGGGCACTGCACGGGGCTCTCGGAAGCGCGCGGCCGATTTTGGAGCGCGGCTCTGCTTTCTCACAGAAACCTGCGCTCCAGAACGAGCTCGGAGTCCCGAGCAGCGTCCAGGCAAGGCCCTGTCGGGATGCAGAAGAGAAGCACAGCGCAGGGCGAGGCACTATACGCTGAAGACAGGCCTCAACCGGGTTTTAGTGCTCAGTACACAGTGGGTGAGGGTGTACGAAGACGCTGAGCACACGAAAAGCAGCAAATCGTGCCTGCCTGCCTACAGATTAGCTAAGGGTGGCTCCAACAACTGTTCTGTGGCTGGATTATGCCTTGTGACCCGCCTTCGGGCAAGCACACGCCTGGGGTGTTCTCCGGCCCTCGGTGCTGTTTGTGCAGCAGGCTTCGCAGCTTCGTCAGTGGCAAAACACACCGTGCCTGGCGTCCCCGACCGCAGCACCAAACCGCGGGTGCCAGGGCCTTTTCGATACTCCGGGGGGTTCAGAAAGGGCCTCGAAGCAGTTTGAGTTTGTGTTGGCTTTTCTCCCTTTCAAAGACAAGTGAAAGTTCACTCTTTGACACGAAAGGGACTATTACCCCAACAGAGAGGCGGGGTGCGTGGAGCCCCACACTGCTCGTTCTGACGAAGAATTAGGACCTGAACCCCTGGACTTTGCGTTTTAAAAAATACACGCCAAAACCAGACAACAGCAGCTGCTAAAACAGCCGGACCGCTATCTTCCTGAATGCTAAAACCAGACTGTAACAGAGACGAACCTCAGTTTTGCTCAACTGTCACAGGGCAAGATATGCAGCTCCCACTTCACGGTGATCCTACGTGTCCAGAACGCCCTTAGGGAGATACTTTTAAGCACAGTTCTGTTTCCAGATAGAATCTCTCCTATTGTAAACTACTACCATCATAGACACTTCCTCCTTCTCACTCACACCTTGTGAGCTTTATAAGCTCAAGGAAAGGTGATTTTAAAACTCAGATTCCTGATGAAAAGCACGAAAGCTCTGAACCCCCCAACTCCAGTTTTCAGTAGTTTTAATCTAAAAAAAAAAAAAAAAAGAAACCAAAACCAAAAAACCTGCCACTGAAAGCCCCCAGAAAGAACGGTCACACGAAACACACTCCACGGTGGGTACTCTTTCCTCACCTTTATGGAGCTGAGCCACAAGTGTCACCCATTCAGTATCGTATCAAAAGCTTTAGATGGAATAAAACAGGTTGAAAAAGGGTTTTTTGGCTTCAAAGAAAAAAAAAAAAAAGCTTTAGGGATTCAGTTTGCAAAGAAGCGTTTCTTAAGTTCCTTAAAAATGCTGCAATCCTGCAGTGTCTGCTGTAAGCATCTCTCACTGGGCGGTTTGGCCAAAACAGCTAAACATTAACCTCTGTCACTGCTGCTCAGCTTTAACCCTTCAGAGTCCAAATAAATCCTCCTATCTATCAGAGACGGACGAGAAGCAGACTGGGCTTGAACAGACAAGAGCTGGTTTCAGGGACCGGCGACTTCTGTTGCGGGTTACCACAACTTCTCCCTTAAAACACGCACACGCGAACATTACCTTACAAAAGGAAATGACCCCAGCGCGTTTCCTGCGGGATTTCAAGCCCTTTCGAGCCGAGCCAGGCAGCCACAAGCAGGAGATCACCCAGCTCAGTCGGTCTCCTGCGCCTGAACACTGCCCCGGAGCAAGGGTTCGTGCGCCAGCCCAGAGGAGAGCTGACTTCCCGGCCGCAGCTTGGACGGAAGCCCCCTCTGTTCCCAAAACGGCCCGTGCCCGCGAGCCCCCCGGCACGCCCGCTGCCGGAGCGCGGCAGGCAGCGGCCAGCTCGGGGCCAGCCCTGGGAAGGAGCCTTTGGCCAGCCGCTTCCCAGGGCCGGGACGGCGAGCAGCAGAGCGGGGTTTGCACAGAGCTTTTTGGCGCTCTCTGCTTCTAAGTCACTGCTTGAGCCCTTGTGTCAGAAAGGCCCGGGGAAGGGAGGCTTTCATCCGCCCAAAAGCTTGCAAAACAGCAGCTGACATTTCACCTAAGGTGTTGGCCCCCCTTTATTCCTCTGCGCCCATCGCTCTGCCCTCCGCTTGGCTCTGGGCTCTTTCAACCTCCTCGCTGCTCAGTCTGCTCGTGCAGTCCGAGGGGCACCACCGAATACACGCGCAAAAGCCAGCACACACCGATTCCGTCTCTGGCGGTTTTGTCTGCAGAGTAAAAATGCCAAACAACCTGAAGGAAAAGTCTGCAAACGATATTCAAAAGCAGATCTGCTGCTGCTGCCTGTCGCCTTCCAGGAGAGCTCTGAGCGGATCGGCAAGTCCTCGGCGCCACGGGGCAACCGGGCAGGGAGGAGGGGAGAGCCGGGGACCCGCGCGCTTCCAGTCCTGCTAGCGGGTGAAACTTACTCTCTCCCTTAAACGGAGAAGGGGAGCCCGCATCCGGTTTTAACTGGGAAGCTGAAAAGCACACAATAGCCATAAACAAATGGCAAGAGGCCAGCCCACAGCGGAAGCGTCATCTCTCAGAAAAGAGAAGGATTTGCCGCACTTTTCCCCCCCGCCCCCTCTAATCAAAGTACGCCGAGACCTTGAAAACATGAAGGACCTGCCCAGTATGTCACGTAGGAGAAACGAAGGGATAACCCGAGGGAAAGCACTGCTGTGCAGCGTAAAGCTATAGTGCAGAGGAATGGGAAGCCCCCTGCAGAGTGCTCCTACCTGGTATAACCGGATGATATGTGGGTGGCAAAGCATCTTCATGATCTGAACTTCTCTAAATATCTTCTTCAGGTTCTCTTCATCCAGCTGTGTCTTATCAATTATCTTGATAGCAACCTAGCAGAAGGGGAAAACAAAAGAGAGGTTATTGACCCAACTGCGTATTAGGAAAAGCATTTTTAAAAACCAACACCGCACGCAGGACCCTGCTGGGCCGAACACCGTACAAAACCAGAGTACACTGTCCCTGCCTCAGAAAGCCCGAGATCTGCGAGCAGCCTCCCAGAGTCCAGCCAGCTTGCCGTAAAGGGGGGAGGAAGGAGCTTTGCTTCCTACTTCTCCGCGCATTTTCCCTCCCGAGGGTACCTCGCTAAGAGAGCGCTGCTGCAGAAGGCAGCGGGGTTTTTAGGCTCTTGCCGGTCAGCACAGCACAGCACGTTCAGAGAGGCACCCGATACCGTGCCGAAAGGCAAGTTACTTCTCAACTGCTGCACGTACTTCAGGCGAGCCCAAACGTTTCTTCCGCCTGCTCGCGGGAACGGGCGTCCTAGTCCTCCCCACCCAGCTCGGCTCTTCAGCCTCGCCGCCCTCGCGCTCACTTGCTGCGGGAGGATGTGCCCAAAGAGCAGCCGGGGAGCTGCAGCGCTTGGGCGTCTCGACCGGCGGCGAAGTGGCCAGCTGGGCACCCAGAGGGGGACAGCGCGCGGGGTCGGCACCCGGACGGGCTCTACTGCACTGTCCGCCCAACGTCCCGCTGCAGCGGGGCCGGTGGATGCCAGCCGGGGTGGAAAGGAGGGCTCAGGCTTCCAACAGTCCAGGTATTTATTTATCTATTTTAAACCAGAAGTGTTCCAGAACACCACTCTAACACAGTTTAAACAAGTCGAAGTGCTTCCAGTCAGCTGCTCTCCAGCCTCGAAGACCTCCTCGCTCCTCCGCCCTCCACCTTCCCCGGCGCTGGCAGCTCCTGGCTCTTTCAGGCACAGGCAGCAAAGCCATCAGGCCCCGAACAGGGAGACACTTCTCTGCTAAAAAAGTACTTCCCCTCAAGACCACTGCTGGAAAGCAATTTGTTTCGTCCAACACGCACGGATGATACGGAATCTTTTCCGGAAGGCCTGATTGAGCAGGGGAGAAAAGGCAGGACTCTCACAGCCGGTGTGAGACGTTGCTGGAGCAAACAGCTGAGAGAAAAGGCTGCTCTTCCTGGCAGAGGAACGTTCGCAGCATTTCTTCTAAACCCGATTTCAGCCTGGAGTTAATAAGTGCCTTCCTCCCCACCCAGAAACCTCAGTGCGAGCGAGCAGCTACAGCATGCCAGCCTAGTTCGAGATTTGTGAGCTGAATTAACATCCACCAGCAGGTTTTCTCGCTTGGAGATGGCACGCTCTCTGGGAAAAGAACCGCTTTTACAGATCTTCTCCTGGTTGCTTTGCTAACGCATAATTTACGAAACTTCTGTCAAGGAAGGCTGCAGAAGCATGCAAAGACATGGGGAAGGGCATGCAAAGCAGCGCTGCGGTAAAAATTGCTGATGAGGCACAACCAGAAAGATTTGACAGAGGAGCCCGAAGCCCAATTACATAAATGCTTCAGCTTGTGACAGGCTCCAGCATTCGCTCGGGACGAGGACAAGTGCTCTGCACACAGAGGCGTGCCATGTCCACGGACAAAAAAACCCACAGTGGCACATGATCCAAAACACATGTAGTTCTCCTCTGGTGCCAAACCCCAAGTGCAATGCGGAACGATGCTCTAACAGGCATGCCGCTGTTTGGAGAGAAACAAACGCACACGAGAAAGGATCTTTAAGGGAACAATCTGAAGCACATGAAAATTAAGCTTCACATTTTACGATAAGATCCCTGCCAGGGGAGTAAGTGCCCTGCACGTAAGCAGAACGCAGCAGAATGCCGAAAAGGCATCGAGTACAATAAGCTGTTTCTTTCATTTGAAACCTTTAATTCAGAGTACAGGAACGATTCCAGACTTCTAAGTCACCGAGCATGCTTCCTACAGCAAGAGCAGGAGCTGAAAGGCGGCCAGGCCTGGCACGCAGCACCAGACGCCGCTGGCAGCAGCGGGGCTGGAGGCAAGGCGCAAGGTGAAACGGCAGCATCGGGCCCCGCTCCGTCAGGCTGCCAAGCAGTAACCGGCCGTGATTAACGGGGTGAGGAGCCGCTGCTGCCCTGCCCTGCCCTGCGCTGGCAGCCTTCGGGGCTGCAGCCCAGCCTCTGCCCAGCAGCAGGCAGGCGGGAGGCGCGCGGCGTCAGCGCCGGGTCTGGTGGATCCGCGCCGCATCGTTTCGAGGACAACACGCAGGGGTGAACTGGGAAAGTTAGGAGAGCCAGAGGGGGCCCGGAAAGCACTCGCTACGTGCTTTTCACCGAGGACCTTCCCAGCAAGAACGAGCTTTTGTAAAGCTTAAACCAATATATATATATATATATAAAAAGCTAAGAGAAGCTTCCTCAAAAAGTGAAGCCAAGATGTCTACCAAGAGACATGAGTCATTTTCAGGCACAAATACGTAAATGAAAATCCACAGATCTGGAGTATTCCGAAGCTCCTTACTCATTTTCCAGCTCTATATTTGCTCTGAGGAAATCTCATTTCCCAGCTTAATTATATGACTGGAGTTGACACTCTTGGCCAAGTCCAAGGTATGTGGAGCATCTGATTGAATACAACTTGGTCAGTAGAGCCAGACTAAGCAGAAGAACTCAGTTACTCTGTTTTTCTCCCTGAGAGCACGGGCAGGGAGAACCAGGCTGCCATCTCCCCAGCTTGCCTGCCCCACACGTGTCACCTTGCCGTGGGCTTCGCACGTGGTGCCCTGAAACTCCACACCCACAAGACACACAATACCTGAGTCGGGAGCAAAGGAACACAGAGGCCAGCCAGAAGCTGTCTTTGTGTGAAGGATATTATTAGGAGTTCGGCCAAATGGGTGGCCCTTGGGCAAAGCTAAGCCCACCCTCAAAAGTTACGAGGAGGAAAGACCTGGCGTTTCTGAAGGGGTTTCTTCAAAACGTTTTCATTCCATTCAAATGCCTCCAGCAACCAATGTAACCTAAAAGGTAAAAGTCTCCCAAAGAAGCCTGGGGAAACCACGCTGTGCTCTGGTTTCAGGAAATTCAGAGCTTCCTCACGAATGTGAGAGGGTGGAAGTAGGAAATCCCCTCCATGCTCAGCGCAGAAGGGGAAGCGCAGGGAATTTTGGCGGGGGACTGCGTTTCACCTGGGGCTTTGCAGAGGTACTTTATTTGGTTTGTTTCAGAGGATTGACTTTTTTTCTTTTTTTTTTTTTTTTTTTTTTTTTTTTCCAGAGGGAAGGAGTGGTTTAAAGGCTTTCCAGAACAGACCGAGTTGGTTTCTCCATTCCTGCATTTCCCAGCTGGCTAATATTCTCCCTTCCCTTGAAAGATGATTCAGGATTTCAACAGAAAGACGACTGGCTGAAATCCTCTGGTCACATCAGCCAGACCGACTTCACCGAAAACCCGGTCGCAGGGAAACAGCCACAATGGATTCAGCCCTGCGACGCGCACGCTTTCCTTCCTCCGGGAGAGCCCGCCCTGCCTAAGCCTCCCCACCAGGAAAGAGCCCCCGCAACCGCATGCCCTCCTCCTCCCGGGCTTTGCTCCGTCCTCCTCCCGGGCTTTGCTCCGTCCGCCGAGCTGTCGGTGCAGGTTACGCGCACAAGTTGGCAGTTTTTGGTTGCAGTTCTTCCTGCTAGCAGCAGCCTGCTGCTGCTGCTGCTGCCACAAAACCATCTCGCCCCAGCAGAAAGCACCAAGAGAGTACAGGCAAGTCGGCTTCCTGCTCCAGCGGAAGGGAACGCTGACATTTGCAGCGCCACTAGAATCAGCGCTCCGTAGTATTATGTATGCAAAAAGAATCGCTTGCAGGTAGACTCATAAAACACTAAAAAATCCCAAATCGAGTGTGTTCCCTCATGCTTACAAATACCACATAAAATAGGAGACAGCAAGACTAAACGTCATTAAATAAAGCACAGATTCGGCTGCAAGTAGAAGTGGAAGAAAACCGTGATCTAATCTCTTAAACAATGCAATACTATAAAAAAGGAGTCTGAAAAATTAACTATTCTTTTGTCAGAAGTTAATGAAGCTTACAGGCAGTAGGATATATGCCAAATCTGGAGCATACATGCTGCTACCAATTAACAACATGTTCCCTCCATTTCTAAACCTTTCGTTTTTTCCTTCCTGCATCCAAGCAAAACTTACGCTAGCAATTTGAGGAAGAAATTGTTATTTGGAAGAACTGTTAAGCTGCTAAAACCAACGGTCGGTGGAGAGAAGGTAAGGCGTTCAACCTGACGCCCACAAGTCACTGCGGAGGTCTTGCTCTTCAGGGCCAAAAGCCTCGTCCACTCTATTTCCAGATTTTTTTCCTCCGGCTGCAACTTCAGCTGAACGCTGCTCTTTTTTTTTTTTTGATTCCAAAGCTGTGCTGTATGCAGTGCATGCCCGGCAAAAGCCCTGCGAGAAGCAGTGGAAGGTTCAACCACAGATTAGCCTGACAGCAAAAGGGGCCGCTGAGGAACTAGGAGAGGTAGGGAAGCTCTGGAAGGCCAAAAGGGCACAAGCAGTTATGACCCATATTGACACGTCCCCCTGCATCACACGGGAAGTCGAGAGGGACAGAAACTACACTGCAAGCCAAACCAGCGAGTTGCCTTCCCTGCACCCCGAAATGGCAAGTTCCTATTTTGCACCGAGACATCCCATTTTAAAGTCTGGTAGCCACCCGAGCTGGAGGATCATGCCAAGGGCGCAAGTCTCCGAAAGAAGGCACAAGTCCTGGTCTGGAGAGAATACCTGCTTGCAGGAATTAAAATTTATACAGACATCCTGGTTATCAGCCAGGCGTGGCTAATACTCATGCAGACTTCCTCGCATCAATACTGCCGTGCCAACAAGAAGGGAACCAAATCGCTGGGTGCCCCGGCCAACGGGCAGGAGGAGGACGGGGGCAGCTCGGGGACAGGGAGGGGACCGCCACCGTGCTCTTGACCACTCCAACTTCTTGGAAAGTACTTAAGGGAGGAAAAAAAAAAAAAGGTAGGAGCAAACAGCCTGTCTTCAGTG